TCATTTGAGACCCTAGATCCCAAGTCCTACTCTCTTTCCTTGCTTCCTCAGTCATCTGCTAAGCTTGTTTATTGGGCACCACTAAACAAAATCAATGAATATTACTAACTTCTAACCAGAAGGGGAGGAGTCCTCTATCCATCATCATCCATTTCCATGTGGTTTTTAAGTATTCTGGACCCCTTGCTGATAGCATTTCCCCAGGCTGGGCTGTCCCAGACAGAGGAGGAGGACCGGGCTACTTCTCATCCCATATGATACTAGGCAGCTTTTAATCTTGGATAAGGCACATTTTCTTCAAATGTTGGACAAGGTGATCTCAATTCTTTCAGCTATGACACTGTGGCAGTGAAGAGGGAACACGTGGTAGAACTTGATGTTACCTATTTTGTGGGTTCAGGAGTGGTCCTCTGACAATATCTGGGGATGGGGAAGGTAAGTGAAGTTTCTGTGGGAACTTCTGGTTCTGGGGAGCCTACATCAGTAGTGACTGAATGGGTTTCTTATAGGATGGTGCAGGACCAGCAGCGTTTTGTTGTGCATTGATAGGGTCACCATGAGTTGGGGACCAACTTGACGACAGCTTACGAAAATAGCATAAAATACTTCCATCAAAGTAATGAAAAATCCTTTCATTATTTAGGCAGGGCTTGCCAGGAATCAATCAGTTGACTAACCCCACCTTAAACCCACTTAATTTCTTCTTATCCCTTCTGAGAAAAATCAGATTACTGGGAATCCAGCTTTCTAAAATGGGTGTTACTGATACCCTGTGGGTCTTTGTGTAGTTAAATTCTCTCATGTGCTGCATCCAGCATGATGGAGGGGAGCAAAAGTAACCTTTCTGAGGTGTCACTGCAGAATTGAGTTCTGTTCTGTGACCTTTTACCCACTCCGTTATCAAAGGTCACTTGGCCTTGGCTATTAGAATACCTAGCTCAGTGCCTGGCACATGTTAGGCACACAATAAATATTTGTTAAATAAATGCTGCCTGGTGTGTCCCTGAGTTTAATAGTCATCTGTCCCCCCGACTTCATCCTACAGCTGACATTCTCTCTGTAGTCTTGTTTTAATTTTGATGAATGAAGGATCCATAAAACTAGTTGTAAAAGATGAGAAGTCAGGCCTGACATGGCAGGATGTCTTCTGGGACCTAGTGCAAGTATCTATACTTTCGGCTTCACACCATTTCCCCCATTTCATTACTTATGCTTTGAAGGGGTGATGGAGCTGTTTCGTACTTTTCAGAGTTGTATAGTTAATTGTTGGGGTAAGTGTGATGAATAGTAGGGGGCTAGGAAGACAGTCTCTTTAAAGGGATGTCTCCAGCTCAGCATATTAAAAAATTGGGGGACATAATGGGAGTTAGACTGGGAATTGGGGTGCATAAGACTGTTGAGGGGGAATATTGAAAATAGAAATCCTTTCATGAGAAAGCCCACAATGGGCATGACCCAGGTTTCCCACTGCCCCAAGGGTATCGAGCACACCGAAGCCATAAAGAAACTTTAGAAGCCACTTTTTGGAGACAGCTGGTCTTTGGACAATTCCCAAAGCATGTGCTAACCTTTCTGCTGAAACATCAGAAAGACTGACTTTCCCTTTCCCTTGAGTGAATAAAAATAACTGCCAGCTTCTACCCCAGCAGTACCCCCTTGGAACAGGAAGCTGGGACTAAAATGTCAAACAGCCCTCCTATTCATCCTCCCTTCCCCCTTCATTCACCACTTTAATATTTCTCTCCTACCCCCCTGTCCATCCCCTGACTGGAGAAATCTTGATACGTAAGAAACTCTGGCCATTTTCAGGCTCCAGTAGGCCAATGATAGGCCCAGAAAAACCCTCCTTTTTAAACTCTTGCTTTTGCCTAACATCCCCTGGCTGCTGTCCCCACATGACCCAAATAAACAGATGATCATGTGAAGCCAGTAAGGCTGTTTGTTTTAAATAGCAAGCATCTCCACTAAGCCTCAGCAGATAGGGTATTGGGGGCAAGGGAAAGGCCAGCATTAAAGTCTCTGTTCACCCCACTTTTATCTCCTGTTCCCCATCCCTGAAGTAAGGATCTCTTTAGAAGTCTGTCAGAGATATGCCTCCTTAATGGGATAGAGCTTTCCCTGACCAGAAGAAGCAGTCTCCAGAAGAGATTCCAGGCTGTAGGGCTGTGACCATCTGAGGAAGGCAGAGGTATAGCTGGGTGTAGCTATCTTGAGTATCCTGGACCACTGGGCTGAAGGCTACAGTGGTGACGCCAAACAAAGTGAGAATCTGGTAAACAGCATTTCAGGTCACTATTACGTGTGCTGTTCAGAATCCATCTCCCCTCTTGCCACCACCTCTAGGAGTGAAGAGTAGCTGGTCCCAACCACGTTGGTGGCAGGTGGCAGATGGGTTTAAAGGAGCCAGTGAAAGAGCCAGCACAGGTCTAGCCCTCTCAGGAAAAGAACGCTCATCCCATGGAGAAGGGCTGGGTTGTCTTACTCCTTCACTTTCCATGTCTGATATAAGCAAAATTAGTGGCACCCCGGGCAGTCATATGTTAATGGCCTCTTCATGCTCAGCTGCCAGAGTACTGGGTCATTAGATCTGCGAAGGTAGAGCTCCCTCGACTGGTGCTGGCAAACACTTTCCATTTATTAGACCCGATTTCCAAGATCTGTGCAGGTTTTTTTTTTTCCCCCTGAGATGCCCTCTGCCCTCAAAGAAAAGGAGCAACCCATCAAGCATACGTTTGTATTAGCTTTCTATGCGTCCAGCTCTTCTTGAGCAAGTCCTGGAAGTGGGCACATACCACTCTGAAGGCCTAGTGGAAGTGAACTGGTGGGTGCCCTGCCATTCAGATGTCTTCATAAAGGTTTACTTTCTGGCTTTGTGTCATGGTGAAATCCAGGCCTTGGGATCCTGAGCTCACTGGCTCAGGATCCCTTCTGCTGAGAACATGTTGGCAAAGGAAAGACGATGCTCTCCATGGTGTCTGGGGCCTGGACTGAGGGGCCCTAGGCTTAGCATCGGGAAGGTGGAATTGGATGTGCTCCCAAGTATGTCTCCTGCTGGCTTGTGCCTATCATTACCAGCTGGGGTTTGTATCAGTGGGTCCACCGTAGAGCCAGCAGGCTGGGTTTTAGGTGAAGGTTCCCCAATAAGTGTTAAATGGTCAGAAACCTTCTAGTTTGGGTAGTTTGCTATTCCTTCCTGCCTTTTTCCTAATTTGGGGCCCCTCCCCAGAACTGGCTTCAGAGTCGTCTCTACGAGTGAGGAACAGCTCTCAATCCTTCCCAAGACCTCACCTTGACCCAACTCTGGCTCTACCCTAACCTAGGGCTGGAATGCTGAGTGACCTTATGTCCCTTTCTGAGCGTCAGTTCCCATTCTGGAAAATGAGAAGATTTGGGAAACTGCCCTGAAAAGGTCTTGAATTTCTGATTGTACCTCGCTAGCCCCCAAACACTAGAGCCAGGAAGAGGTGGCCGGGCACGGCAGCCAGAGGTCTCTGCCCTCCCCGCAAGCTCAATAGAAGCTAGACGCCGCGCCCCGCGCCCCGCGCCCTGCGCCCGCGGTCTCGGAGTCCCAGTCGTTGGGAGGGCCGGGCTTCCGCCCTCCACGTTGTTGTTCCCGATTTGGGCCACGCCCCCTCGACCTGCGCTGTGGACGTTTTTCCTTAACCGTACGCCTGGGCCCCAGAGCAAAGGGCTGTCTTTGAAGTGGCACAGTTGGATTCTCCACCCATATCAGACACGCGTGGACAAAGACAAAAGTTTAGAGGAAAGATTGATAAAAGGCTTGGGTGTCGAAGGGAGGCTGGTGAAGAGTAGAGAGTTGGCCAGGGTAGATTATGGGATTACCCTCTCGGCATCGTACCCTCCTCTCACCCAGTGATGCCATCCTTACACGCCAATGTGACCCTGCAGACACTGTCCCTTTAAACAGAAGGCTGGCGGTGCGGGGTGTCCATGTGGAGCTGCTCCATGCCGTGTTGTCCTGGCCGCCCATTGGCCCGCAGCCCGGTGACGTCGCCTAATAGGATGCGAACGCACTGCGGGGGGAGGGACGGAGGAAAAATGTGGAAGCGGATCGCCACTCCGCTCTCTGCCTGTTGTCCGTCAGCCTCCTACCGTCAGCTCCGCCCAGGGGTGGATCCCGGGGTGAGGGTGGGGGTGAATTGGCGACAGCCTTGGAGGTTGCGGGATTTTGGTCACGTGTGGGTAGAGAGCGGAGACCCGGGGAATCGTATCAGTTTTTAACACCCTAAGGCTTCCCTGACCTAGAATATCCTTATTTGAACTAATTTAAACCTTGAATTTTTCACCCTTCCTTTTCTCCAGCAAAACCGATTTCGGCGTGACCCAAACACTCAGCACTTGCTCAACTTGTGGCTTACAGGCGGGGCGGAGCGAGGCGGGAAAGCGGAAATACTGCGCGCGAACCGGGCTTGATCTTCCCTCGCCCCCACCCAGGCCACGTGTGCGCGCACCGCCTGTGGTGGGCGGGACCAGCCCACGCAGGACCCCGCCCCTCCCTTCGTGAGACGCCACGGCCCGGCGGGCGGGGGCTCCGGTCCGGGCTTTGGCTGCGGCCCCGGTGTAGTAGCGGGGGCGGCGGCCGGGGGCAGCGCGGCTCCTTCCCTTGTTGTGTGTGTCGGTGCCTCCTCGCCATCTTGTTGCAAAGCCCTTTCTTGTCGGCGGGACTCCCGGGGGCTGCGGGGCGGGAGGCATCTGAAGGGAGGAAGAGGGAGGGGAAGGAGGCCGTGCCAGTTTTTTTTTTTTTTTTTTTGCATCAATTTTTTTTTTCAATTTGCTAATTTATATTTTGCACATATTTTGGGCGACATTGACTTTTCTCCCCGTGCTCCCCTGTTCTTCCCTGCGGAGTGCACTGCGCCGCCCAGCCCTGTCGCCCCCCGGAGGTGATCACTCCCTCCTGCCTGCTCGCCAGCCTGACCTGTGCCCAGCTCGCGGGCCGCAGCCTCGGCCCCGGCGCACCCCCGGCAGCTCTCGGCGCGATGAGCATAGAGACGCTACTGGAGGCGGCCCGCTTCCTGGAATGGCAAGCGCAGCAACAACAGAGAGCACGTGGTGAGCGGCCGGGCTGAGACCCCGGGGTACTGGGGAAGGGGAGGTGAGCGGCCCTGGCCCCCAAACTCAACAAAACCGCGGGCAAGACACCACCTCTCCCGCGGCCTGCGAAGCCGGGCAGCGCACAGCTCCCTGCAATAGCCGCCTCCCGGAGAGATGTGGGCGGTAAATTAATTGGTGAATTCATTAACATGCAGTGAGGGGCCCGACTCCTGCGGGCGCCACCCCAGCTACCTGACATCCCTTTTTCACTTTCCGTGTATGTGTATGTCGGGGGGGGGGTCCTTTCGCGTGGGCCAGAGACTCTCTTGGTGGTGCTGAGGGTGTATGAGCCTGAGCGGGGGTTGGTGTTGCCAGGGGGTGGCAGATCCGCGTGTGCGTGCGTGTGTGCAGGGGGGAAGTGTGATTGAGGCTAAGGGAGAGCAGATGAACGGACGTGTACACGAGCGTGCGTGTAGTGCACACGAGTGGGCGTGTGTGTAACGGAGTGAGGGTGGGAATTACTCTACGCGGAACAGCTCTCCGGCTTCCCTGGCCCTGGAGAATGGTGTGGGGGGCGCTCCCGGCAGATCTACGCGCCGCTTGGGGCGGAGGCGGCCTTTGCAGAATGAAATGACATCGCGTGTCTTATGATCCTGGCCAGCCCCGCCTGACCCCGCCTCCCAGGGCTGGGCTGGGTCTTGCGTCTGGGTTTGGGTGAGAGCCGGGCTGATTGGGTGCCTGCCAGCAGACCGCGGGTTGCTGGGGGGATGGCCTCCGGTTCCCCTTCACTGCGCCCCGCTTTAGCTGGTGTGGAATGTGGCGTGTCTGCGCGTTCCAAACCCGCTCAGGGTTGGAATGTTGCGTGTGTCTCCGTTCCAAGCCTGTTGGTTACACCGGGTGGTGACGTGGACGTGCCCCGCCCCCGACCACGTGCACGGGGGACACTCCCGCTGGGGACGGCGTGGCCCGGCCCATTCTAGCTGCCTCGCGCTCGGCCAGGGGCGGGGCCTGGGCGGGGCTGGCTGGGGGCCCTGCTCGGGGTTGGGCCCGGGCCCTGGCTGCTGGGCATCTTTCTGAGAGAGCCTTTGCCCTGAGAAAGACAAGCCGAACTCACCTGTCGGTTCTCCCTCCGAACCTCCTGTGGTTTTTATCCTCGAGTGAGGGAAACCTTCAGAATCGCAGGGCGAGAAGACATTTAAAGCTCACATCTTCCCACTGACGTTCTCACCAGAATCCCCTGACAACCCCTGGGGCTACATTGTGGGATGAGTTAGTCAGTAGGGGACAAACTTTGGCGTTCCTTCGTGAGAGGGAAGAAGAGAAAAAGGTTTCAAATGCCTCCTGTCCCTGCGTGCCCTTGGTGGTGGTCCCGGGCTTTCACGGTGCTGCAGGAATGGGGGTTGGGGGAGGCTCGTTTTCCAGGCTGCTATGAGGGCATCAGCCTAGAAACGGCTTGTGAGCAATAGCCAGGGACTCCTTCTCCCTCTTACCCCCTAAACCCTTTGGCGAGGTTGGCGGTGGTGGAGCGAGTGCTTCGTCCTCGTTTCCTTTCTCTGCCTATTGTTGCTTCAGTGATGAGTCATCCAGGAGGTAGTAGTGTGTGTTGTGTGTGTGCGTGCGCGCGTGCGCGCGCCTGCAGCGTGTACAGCCGCCGCTGAGGCGACGGGCGGAGGGGGGGCCATGGAGCGCAGGGGACAAGGGGCGGGGGAGTTGCGGGTCCCCGGGCCTAGTCGGGCCGACCTGCTTCTCAAGGTCAGGAGTCACTTGAGATAGGGAAAACCGTGATGCTTGGGTTTTGCAGAATTGATGGGCTGGGACATCTGCCCACACACCCCTCCTTCTTGTCTTTGGGGTACAGAGTAAGGTGGATAGTGCTGGTGGGGGCCGAAAGTCCCTGTACAGGGGGCCAGAGGTGGGGGGAGGATTATGCACAAGATTCGGAAAGATTGTCTACACAGTTCATACAAGAGTACGTATTGTGGTCCATACTGTGTACCAGGTACTGTCCGAGGGGTTAGTGGGATTGACCCAGCTATTGTCTTGGGACACTCATTGGTTGGCTATTAATGGGGAAGAGAGAAGAACCTCACTGTCATCCCTCTCCCCTTTTCCTAAATAAGTAAGTCCAGAGCTGACAGATAGCCAGGACAGGGACGATCTGTGCCCCACGGTGAAGGAACCTTGGAAAGATTCTCCCCTAAGGAGTGGCAGAACCATGCTCCATACATCTCCCTCCCATGACATTACCAAAGTTCAGTTGCCCAGTCCCAGATTCTTGGTGGTTGGACAAGGAGGTTTAGGGGATGAGTTAGATCAGGAAAACCAATCTACTCCAAAAACTCACATTACAGATGGCCATACCTGGCCTCAGCCATTTAACCTCCAAAATTCTTGAGGTTCTGTTCCCTGACTTGGAGTGGGAAGGATGGGAGAGGAGGGAGTGACAAGTAAACATGCTGCCCAGAGCTGCTTCCCGGGGTACTTCCCAAGGGACCACCTCTGCACAGGGCTCTTATGGCCATCCCCCCCCCCCCCCCCGACCTCCATGGGTCAGCTTCCTGACCTCGTCCATCCAGTTTGCTCACATGATGCGCCTGGGGATGTGTGTGCACATGTGTGTATATGTGCAAAGGAGAGAGGACAGGCCCAGTGAACCCTGGTGGTCAGCAGGCGGGCCAGGCCTGGCCATTCCCAGCATTCTTGCAGGTGGTGTAAATGGAGGGAGCTGGCAGCAATGTTCAGAGGCTCCTGACTGAGTCCACCCTACCTTATTCGCCATGCTACCTGTTAGCCCCTAGAAGGGGAGAATCCCCACCCAGCTTTGGGACTCTTGTCATGGACTCCTCAGCCCCTGACCTTTGGCCCTGAACATACTCTCTGGGGGCAAACTGCACAGGGCCCAGGGAAGGTGCCAGGGTGTGTGTGTGTGAGACGGGGGCGCACCCACGGGTGCAGCAGGGCGTTGTTTTAAAGAATCTAAACAGAGACTGCTCCTAGGGGAGCCCCCCTCCCATTTTCTCACCCCTCTTTGCTCCCCCCCCAACCTCCACTGCTGGGAGGGGAGGGGATGAGGCAAAGCTGGGGGTGGGGGAGCAGTGGCCTTGAAGCTTTGGTGGACAAAGCTGAGTTAAGGTATCTAATGTTCTTTATCACCAATCCAGCTTCTCCGTGCTGGTTCAGTTGTGACAAGAGTTTTGCTATCTACCTGGGCCCTTCTTGGCACTTGGCTCTGGAAGAGAGTCAGTAGGTAAGAAGGAGGTTATCATCTGCCTGGTGAGCTTTGGAGTTGCTTTAAAATCTGGGGACATGGGGTTTGCCTTCCATCTGGGCCCACCAGGTGCCGGCCTTTGGGGCTCTGTTGGTCCTCCGTGTGGAGAGTGAACACTGGCCCCAGAACTGGTGAGATTTCAGCTCCTGATAAATCCAAGGATTTACCAGGTGGGGGCTGTGCTGGGCCCTGAACTAGGGGACCTTCCTTGTCTTGCAGGGGAGGAAGAGTGGATGGAGATGTCCCCAGATGAGCCTGAGAAGGGCTCATGGCTGGACCTCTGTAGGCTTCTTCCTTCGGCATAGTTTGTAGAAGGCTGGAGCACAGAGGCCTGGTTTTCTCTGGAGCTGTAACCTAAGCCAGTCTGGTGGGGAGAGGCCCGAGAGAGCAAGGCCTCCTTGTTCCTGCAGGCCTGGCATCTCCCCTTCCTGAAGGGCAAGGGAAAGGCGGAAGAGGCCCCTACTGACTGAGCCCAGCTCCTGAACTTTGGCTGCTGGGAAACCACTCAGTGCTTCCCCTCTCACACTTCCCCCTCTACTTCCTCCTTTGCCTCTTCTCCTCTGCTGAAGAGGGAGGGGCCTGGAGCTAGCCTGGCTCCCACTTGAAATAGTTGATTGGCCAAAGGGCCCTGAGGCCTGAGGTTTTCTGGGGCCCCAGAACCAGAAAGAAATGTAGGGGGTTGATGCTCTCTCCTCCCTAGGGCAGACTTAGCCGCGCCCTGAGTGGGGTGGCATGTTTGGGGTGTGTCCCCTGGCCTGTGCTGTCAGCTGTGTTAGTCAGCCTTGTGGTGTATCCAGGGCAGGAAGGGAGGGCTGCTTGTCCAGCCGGCTCCCTGGCGGGGTGGTAGTGGTGGTAGGGAACGGGGTGGGGTTAGGGGTGGTGCTGAAACCACTCTTCAGCCCAGCCCTGAAGCGGGCCTGGGAGGACAGGGTGAGTAGAGCCTTCTGGAGATGGAGAGGGGCCTGGGGGTCAGGAGGGGCACTCTCGCCCCTTTCCTGCTTGCTGCCTGCTCCCAGGCATACCTCACTTTCCTGCTGGGCTTGCAGCAGAGATGCTGAAGGGATGGGAACGAGGTTGCCTGAGCACATTGCTCAACCTCTGTGAAGAGCCCAGCTTTCCTTTCTGCCTGCCTATAATATATATATAACCTTTCTAGTTTTGGTGTGGAGAGAGGACAGGGAGAATTGTTTGTTGTGTGGTACCTGAGGAACCACTGGCTTTGGGGCCTTTGCTGGACATTGGCTGTCCTGGGCCTAGTTTCCTCATCTGAGAAATGAGGTGCTGTCCCTGCCCTGCCTGTGGCATGGCATTCTTGTGAGATTCCGGGGGGGCACAATGTGAATGTGTGTGAGGAGACACCTAGTCAGCATATGTTGGCCCAGCAAGTACAGGGCATGGGACCAGATGTCAAGAGACCTGGCTGGGTCTAGCCTTAGTTTTATCTGTGACTTGCTGTGTGACCTCAACAAATCACTTTGCCTTTCTGAACTTCAGTTATTTCACCTGTGAAATGAAGGTATTGCTTGCCTTGTAGAAGGTCCTTGGGGAGTGATGTTGAAGACATTCCAGGCGGCCATATATTCAGACTCAGCAGTCAGAGGTCTGATCTGTCGCAGCCTCCGCCCAGTGGCGTCTGCCCACCTCTCAAGCCTCCTCTCTCACCCTAATCCCCTCACAGCCCTGTTGCTCTCGACCCTTCCTGCTTGTTACCTGCCTAACCCCTTAGCCTTCAGGCTGTCAGCGTCCACATCCTCTTGACAGTTAGTGCTCTGTGTTCCCACAGCCTTCTGTCCTGGCCCCACCACAGCCGAGATTGTTACCCCCACCCCCACCCCACCCCCGTCAGCTCTCCACAGGGCTGCATTATTTGTTCACTGCTGTGTCCCAGCTGGGTTTGGCCCATTGGATATGGATGGGTATTTATGGAGTCCCAGGCTGGGGCATCACTGAGCACTGACTGGACAGGTCGAGAGGAGGAGGGAAGCTGGGGCCCTGGACCAGTGGCCTGCTTAGACCTTCCTTGTGTTCTCTCTGCATAGAGGAGCAGGAGCGGCTTCGCTTGGAGCGCGAGCGGGAGCAGGAGCAGAAGAAGGCTAGCAGTCTGGCCAGGTTGGCCCATGCCCTGCCGCTGGAGGAACCCCGCATTGAGGCACCACCCCTGCCTCTTTCTCCTCCGGCACCCCCACCGGCACCCCCGCCCCCACTTCCCCCCCCCACCCCACTGACTGTTATCCCCATCCCTGTAGTGACCAACTCCCCGCAGCCACTACCCCCGCCTCCACCACTGCCCCCCACAGCTCAGTCTCTGCCCCTGGTGCCTCGCCAGCCAGCCCTGGTCAGCCCCCCTGGACTCAGCATTAAGGAGCCTGCCCCTCTGTCTACCAGGCCACACGTGCCCACTCCTGCCCCCCTACTGCCGGACTCGAAGACCACCATTCCGCCCACTGGTAGCCCCAAACCCTTGCAGCCCCTCCCCACACCCATCCTGACCATAGCACCACACCCTGGAGTCCAGCCCCAGCTGGCCCCTCAGCAGCCACCCCCACCCACGCTTGGGACCCTAAAGTTGGCACCTGCTGAAGAAGTCAAATCCAGCGAACAAAAGAAGAGGCCAGGGGGGTGAGTGAGGTGGGGCAGCGTGGGGGCTGGTGGATAGAGAGAACTATCTCCTAGGCTGTGCGTGAAAGGGACCTGCCAGCTAGCCCTTCAGAGACCTGCCCTACCTCCGCAGCCCGGAAGGACCCTCTTCTATTGGGACACGTTCTCACTGTGTCCATCCCCACCTGGGAACGGCATTGCCCTCTGTCATTCTCAGGCTTCTGGGTTGCGTTTTCAGGCCTTTGGGCAGGGCATTGGATTATGGGCCTCCGGGGTGAGGGCTGTGTCAGTGAGCTGCTTCACTGCAGCTGGGGGGGGAGATTGAGGCCTAAAGAGGTGGTGGATTATGAACATAGACATGCCCCCCAGGGAGTACACAGGGAACAGGTCACCATCTCCCTTGGCTGCTTTTAAAGAGAGAGAAAGTTGGGAACAAATAAACCCCCCAAAACCCCAAACCTACTGCCATTCCTGGAGGAAGTACACCTGAAATACTCCTTGGAAGCGAGAATGGCCAGACTTCTTCTTACCTACTTTGGTCATGTTGTAAGAAGGGACCATTCTCTGGAGAAGGATGTCATGCTTGGTAGGGTGGAGGGTCGACGAAAGAGGGGGAGGCCTTCAACGAGATGAATTGACACGGTGGCTGCCATGATGGGCTCAAGTGTAGCAGGGATCATGGAGCTGGCGCAGGCTCGGGCAGTGTTTCGTTCTGCTGTGCATGGGGTCGCTATGAGTCGGAAACGACTCCTCGGCACCTAACAACAACAGCTGCCATCCAGTCGACTGACTCATAATGACCCCTATAGGACAGAGTATAACTGCCCCATAGAGTTTCCAAAACTGTAAATCTACATGGAAGTAGACTGCCTCATGGTTCTGCTGAGGAGCAGCTGATGAGTTCAAACTGGTGACCTTTTTGGTTAGCAGCCAAATGCTTTAACCACTGAGCCGCCAGAGCTCCTTGGGGACAAATAGCCTGTGGCACTTGGGGGGTGAGGGTGGGGGAAGGAAGGCCACCTAATAGGGCCTGCCTCCCTGAGTTTCCCCATCTGTCTGGGTTTCAGGATCGGCACCAGAGAAGTCCACAACAAATTGGAGAAGAACAGGTGTGTGTGTGTGTGACTGTGGCCCTGCCCCGTTTCATCCTGGGACTTGCTTAGCCCCTGGTGGCCCCCACAGCACCCCTTGGGCCTTCCTTTCCCCATCCCCAGGCCTCGCCCCCTCGGGCTCTGGCTGACCTGAGCTAGCTCCCTCTCCCCAGGAGGGCCCATCTGAAGGAGTGCTTTGAGACCTTGAAGCGCAACATCCCCAATGTGGACGACAAGAAGACATCGAATCTGAGCGTGCTCCGGACGGCGCTGCGGTATATCCAGGTATGGGGGGAGAAAAGCAGGGCCAGGAAGAGGAGGGCAGGCCTTGGTGGCGGCAGCAGCCTCCAGGCCAGCTTCCTCCCCACCTCCAACAGCGCTCCTTCCTTGGCTGCGTCCCCGCCCCGCCCCGTCCTACCGCTCCCCTCTACCGCTCCCCCACCCGCCTCCACGCGGGCGCTGAGCACATGGCCCGGTTGACGTCAGCGGGGCTCCCTGCCCGGGGAGGAGGCAGGAGGAAGAGCGCGCGCGTGCGCGCGGGGGAGGGCGGCAGGCGGCAGCCTCTTCTCCACCTCCGCAGCGGGGCTGCTCTATCAGGCCCCCACCATCTGCACATTCCCCGGAGCCTTGGCGTCCCCGGGACCCGAGGAGGGCGCGCAATGCAGCCTGGCTCAGTGTAAAACCCGGTGCTTGGACCGTGTTCTACCCGCATTAATGTACCCGCCGGGGTGAGAAATGCGTGGAGCAGGCCCCGGCGCCTCCGCCCTGCCCGCAGTGCCCGGGCAGGAACCCATTCCTGCCAGTGTCTGTCGCTGGTTAAGCTGTTGGCACGACGTGGGGGTGTTTTTTACCGAGCTCTATGGGGACCCCCAGGGCTTGGTCTCAGGCCACACCCCGTCACACCACGGCTCGTGAGTGAAGCACCTCACTTTTACCCTAGGGGGATAGATTCTCTTGGTCAGCACGTTGAGGTGCCGAACCGAGATTGGGGGGGGGGCTGGAGGGGAACGGCTCAAACTGGAGGGTTAGGGCGTCTTGCGTTCTACTGGGTGATAAATAGACCCAGAGTCACGGAACCTTAAAATTTGCTTTCTTTCTGCTTGGGTTAAAAAAGCCCTTCCTAGTTGTTTTTTAGGGGGTGCTCCTGGCAGAGTGTCCCCTCCCTTTGGACATTGGCTCCCCGTCTGCAGTAGTGGAGGGGGGGCTCCTGCCAGATAAGACAGTTACCATGAAGGTCCAGAGTTTCGGTTTCCTTGGAAACGGGTGGAGGGTTCCGCGTGCCGCAGAGACTGTGGGGGATGGGGAAGGCGGCCACGCTCGGCTGCCGAGGAGACGGGGAGCCGTTGGGGGAAATGGGAGGAACTTACATCTCCCTGCCCGCAAGGGGCGGGGCCAGCGCCAGGTCTCCCTTTCGGCCCTCTAGGAAAGCTTTGGAAGGCTGGGCAGCCTCGAAGTCCCCTATGGAAAGTTGAGCAAGGGAGGGTCCGGCGGGGCTGGGAGCCAGCGGCGGGGCGCTACCCCTCCCCCCCGGCCTCGGCTGCAGGGTCACAGCCCTGAAGTAACCGGAGCCCGACTTGTTGACGGGCGGAGGCACTGCTTCGCGACTGTTCCCAGCCAGCGGGTCCCGCCCCCTCCTCCCGCGACCGTGCGCCCTTCCGTCCTCCCCTCCTTGGCAAGGGGGCGGGACTGGCAGGCTTCCAGGCGGCTTCCCGGCACCTAGAAGGGTGGGTCTGGGCTCGCGGATTGGTTGGGCCTAGTGAGGGGGGCGGGAGCTTCAGAGCGCGCGCTAGGAGGGTGCGGCCGGCAGAGAGTGACGCAGCAAAGCCAGGTCCGCGTGGGTGCGCGCGTGCACTGGAGGGGCGGGGCGTCGCTTGCGGCTGGACTGAACCTGGCGCTGGGTGGGGGAGGGGCTATGGGTTTCAGAGAGGGCTGAGGGAGGCTGAGAAAGGTCGCGAAGGCCTATTTATGGATTGTATTTGCAGGAGTGGGGGCTTGGGTACAGTTTACTGGCCCTTCAGTCATGTTGCCTAAAATCATATTCCTGTCCGCATACTGTGGCATCTCCGAGTATCAATTTTCTCCTTTGTACAGTAAGGCTAAGTGGGAGTAAAATAATAGTATTTTTGTTATAGTGATGTTAGGCTTAACTCAGATTGTTCATGTAAACAGCACCCGACACTATAATAAACACTAACTTAGTAGTGTATATTCAATGCATGAGCGATGGAATTGGAAGTTCCTCTTTATAGATAAATACTTTGGGAGGTATGTATGCTTTGGGAGCCGTGCATAATGGGTGGATTTGAAATCAGAAGTAGACTCAGTGGAATCAGTAGAATGAACTGGAATGAGTAGGAAGCAGGGTGGACTCCAGGCTCTCCACGAGAGGTACTTGCCCTGAAACTGGAAAAGGAAAAACCCTGAAACTTGTTGCCAGCTCATATTTGCCCTGTGTTAAAGAGCAGAACTGCCCTGCAGGATGGTTTTCTTGGCTGTAGTCTTTATGGAAGGAGGTCTTCAGGCCATTATTTTATATAGCACCACTGGTGGGGTTCAAACCACCAACTTTTAGGTTAAATAGATGAGCATAAACCTTTACCTACAGACCTTGGTGGTGGAAATAGAAACAGTATGTAGAGTCACAAGGTTTTCTGTAAATCCGCAACCTCATCCATTTAAATATTTTCATTTTTGTACCGTTTGGCTAGGCCTTGTGTGCCTGACCCCTGAGATACATTGGAGAGCAAAGAAAAAATGTGGGTCTCTGCCCTCGGAGGTTTGTAGTTAGGGTCTTGTGGCAGATTATAAACAAGTAAACGTACAGAGGACTGTGCCGTTAGAGTATATAGGGACGACAGGATCTGTCCTGGGGAGTTTAGGGACATTTTTGCTGAGGAAAGGACACTTGCGCTAAGAGCTGAAGAATGAGTTGAGGTGAAGTGGCCAAGTGGAAGGCGGAGATCTCTGTGCAGGCGGCTTCCCCGAGCAGGGTGAACGTGTAGAAGTACAGGGTGGTTAGGAGGGCTGCCAGCAGAGAGGGGGACAGCAGGGGCTAGAGCATAGTCAGAAGGTGGTTCTGGTGAGCCCACACAGGGCCGTGGGGACTAAGAGCTCTGGCTGTGTGCTGAGAGCAGGAGTCGTGGACATGCTGTACCTCTAACTGGACTCCAGGATGGCTTTGAGGTGATCAGGGTTTGCAAAAAGTCAAAGTGAAGTAGACAAAAACGAGGGGAAGTAGGCAGGTTCCAAACTGCGTGTCCACATAGACATAGAAAGGAAATAGCTTTAAGATGAAGCAATGTGGACTAAGGTTAGACCCGGGGACAACTTGCCAGAGATCTCTAAGCCTGTGGGTTCTGCTGTGCATAGGGTTGCTATGAGTCAGACACGACTCGACTGCACCCAACACCACCACCACCAACAACAACTAAACCTGTGGAGAACTGGTGTAAGGTGAGAAAAGGGGGCTTTGGCCTCTGATGCTCTCCCCCTGGCCTAGGAGTCTAAGCTGGTAGACTACAAACTCTACAAGCAGGTAGAGCGGTTAGGGCAGCTGTTTGCAGCCCCTGTGCAGCCAGGGTCAGGTGAGGGCTGACTTGGCACAGGCCCTGCTTTCTGGTCCCCTTTGGATGTCATGTCCAGCCCTGGCCTTGCAAGGGTAGAGCTAGTTGAGAAGTCAGCAAGAGGGGGCGTGTCTGTGTGCGTGCGCATGCGCACACGTGTAGTGGGGCAGGGTCTTTCCCGAACTCGTCCTGGAAAAGATTGAGGGGAACATGGGTTAAACTCAAAGGCAGGATGTTAGAGGGGACTGTGTGTGGCTTGTGGCAGACGACAGAAGTCTAACAGTGCTACCAGGTTTCACCAGGTTCAGAGCACAGCTCTATCCGCGTATGTGTTAGTGGCACTGATGGCTTGAAGCCTCTTTCACCTGTGAGGTGAGACGTGTAGGGAGTTTGGGGCTGCAGGAGGGGAGTTTGGGGAAGTTGGACCTAGTTGTTAAGTGGCTAAAGACTGGCCCTGCTTAGAAGTATGCAAATAATCCTGAAAGGCTATTGCAAAATTGCCGGTGGGAAATGAAATCTGGAGAAACCCAAGTATAACAGGTTACTGTGATTCTCTTCTGGGCTGAAAGGGAGACACAGGATAGAGGCAGGTAGGGTGGGGACCAACAGGAAGCGGCTTCTGTCCTCTCAGGTTGATTTCTTTAGCTGGGGGCGTTGGTGGTGGTGGTGGTTATGTGCTGTCGCGTCGGACCCGACTCATAGCGACCCCTCCTTGGGTTTCCGGACGTAGATTTCCCATCCTTCCTTCCAAGGAGTGGCTGGTGAGTTTGAACCACCAGCCTTCTGGTTAGCAGTCAAGTGCCTTAGGCACTACACCCCCAGAGCTCCCTAGCTGGCGTGAGTGTGCTTATTGTGTGTAGCTCGGTCCGGTGTCTAGTAGTGTTGAGGGATAGAGAGTAACTATCAGATAGTTCTTGCCTTTACAGACCAGATTGGACAGGGGCCATGTGTGTGGAAGTGGTGAGACAAAATACACATAATGGAATATTTAAATGGATGTACACCCCTAACCAAACCTAACCCACTGCCATCCAGTCGATTCCATTGAGTGACCCTAGAACAGAACAGAACTGCCTCATAACGTTTCCAAGGCTGTAAATCTTTATGGAAGCTGACTGCCTCATCTTTCTCCTGTGGAGTGGCTGATGGGTTCAAACTGCCAATCTTTTGGTTAGCAGCTGAGTGCTTTAACCTGTGTACCATCAGAGCTCCTGTTGAAGAGTTTAACATTCTCCAGTTAAATTTTGGAATCAGACCTGACTTGATGGCAGTGGTTTTTTTTTTTTTTTCTGGTAGCATAGTGCTTAAGGCACTTGACTGCTAACCAGGAGGCTGGCAGTTCAAACCCACCAGCCACTCCTCGGAAGGAAGGTTGGGCAATCTACTTCCGTAGTGATACCGCCTCGGAAAACCCAAGGAGGGTCTCTATGAGTCGGTCTGACTTGACAGCACATAACAACGACAGTTATATTTTACTCATGGGTGGTGGGTACCTATGTGGGCTCTAAGGGAAGGGGACGGAGGTGGTAAGGATGTGTGTGGGAAGGTCTGTAGAAGAAATGGGGACCTCAGGGGTGGTCTTACAGGGTGAGCAGATGAAACCTGAAGGGGTGAGGCAGGAGGGTCTGCAGTTGGAGTTCAGAGACAAAAATGAGGACGTGCTGGTGAGTTGACCCAGAGGGTTGTGTGCAAGCCTGGAGGCAAGGAGGTCCGGAGCAGGTGGGGAGAGGGGCTGGAGAACAGCCAGCCTAGCAGTAAGGACAGGACTGTCCTCATTGTCTGGCAGACAAGACAACATGACTAGCCTTGGCCAAGAAGCAGCCAACAACAGAAGGTCGATGAGATTTTAAGAGTGTTGTGTAGTGAAGTGTTAGAGTCAGGAGGTTCTGGAGGCCCAGGAAAGTGTCCGGTGTGGTGAGGAGCGAGCTGGGACACGCGCTGGCCTTTTGGAGCAGCCTCTCCTGGGGCCCTGGTGGTGCAGCAGTCAGGGCTTCAGCTGCTAAATGAAAAGTTGGTGGTTCAGACCCCAACAGCAGCCCTGGCTCTGCAGGACGAGAGCCTGGCGATCTGCTTCTGGAAAGAGTACGGCCTAGAAAACCCTGTGGGGCGATGGTTCTCTGTCACACAGGGTCACTGGGAGTCAAAAATCAACCCGCTAGCACCCAGCAGCAGCCACGTGCCTGGTGTGAACAGGAAGCAGGACAAGTCCTTACGTCTGGAAGGTGTGGCACTCCCACCTGTGGGGGGCTCAGCCTAAAAGGGGTGAGGTCTCCTGAGGGCCTGGAGAAACTGAGGGAGGGTGGCCTTGTGGATGAGGGAGCACTCCTGAGGTTCTTAGGGAAGAGGACAATATGAGCGTCATGTAGGGGGCGGCCTGGAACCTCTGGGAAGGCCTAGAAGCCAGTCAGTGCTGTCAGGCCGCGCAAGAGCCATTGCTCCTTGATCAGTGTGACTCAGGTACAGGTATAGAAAAGCGGGGTGCATTCCAGGGCTGCAGGTGTGGTCTCCAGTAGCCCCCCTCCAGCTGGCCTCACGGTTACTACAGACCCGTCCCTGTGGGTCAGGTGACCTGGAGGAGGGGGTAGTAGCTGTGGGCGCTGAGGCTGCTGATCAGGGTGTGCTCACCGTCTCTCGCCCTGTTCCGCAGTCCCTGAAGAGGAAGGAGAAGGAGTACGAGCACGAGATGGAGCGGCTGGCGCGGGAGAAGATCGCCACCCAGCAGCGGCTGGCGGAGCTCAAGCACGAGCTGAGCCAGTGGATGGATGTGCTGGAGATCGACCGCGTGCTGCGGCAGACGGGCCAGCCCGAGGACGACCAGGCCTCCACCTCCACCGCCTCAGGTGAGCGTAGCACCTGCCCCTGCTCAGAGGTTAACCCCGTGCACCCCGATTCCCAGCCTCCCTGGCCACGCCTTTGCCTCCCACCCCGTATGATCCTGAGATCCCCCAGGGGCATCTGTTCCTCCAACCCCACTTCCCAGGCCCTTCTGACCTACTTGCTGTCGTCCCCTTCCCGTATCTCCCCTGCTACAGAGGGTGAGGACAACATAGACGAGGATATGGAGGAGGACAGGGCGGGCCTGGGCCCACCTAAGCTGAGCCATCGGCCCCAACCGGAGCTGCTAAAGTCTGCCCTGCCACCCCCCAGCACCGCTCCTGTGCCCCCACCTCCCCACCCGCACCCTCACTCCCACCCCGTGGCCCTGTCTCCTGCCCACCTCCCTGTACAGCAGCAGCAGCCACAGAAGACAACTTTGCCAGCCCCTCCTCCCCCACCGGCTGCCCCTGCCCAGACACTGGTGCCAGCTCCGGCCCACCTGGTGGCCTCAGCTGGGGGAGGCTCCACGGTCATCGCGCACACGGCCACCACCCACGCCTCAGTCATCCAGACTGTGAACCACGTTCTACAGGGGCCGGGTGGCAAGCACATCGCCCACATCGCCCCCTCGGCCCCCAGTCCTGCTGTGCAGCTGGCACCTGCCACATCCCCCATTGGCCACATCACAGTGCACCCCGCTACCCTCAACCATGTGGCCCACCTCGGCTCCCAGCTGCCCCTGTATCCACAGCCTGTGGCGGTGAGCCAGCCTGTGGCGGTCAGTCACATAGCCCACACCCTCTCGCACCAGCAAGTGAACGGCACCACTGGGCTGGGGCCCCCAGCCACTGTCATGGCCAAGCCGGCTGTGGGCGCCCAGGTGGTGCATCACCCCCAGCTGGTGGGCCAAACAGTGCTCAACCCTGTGACCATGGTCACCATGCCCTCCTTCCCGGTCAGCACACTGAAGCTGGCTTGAGGGTGAAGCCACTCAGAGGCCCCCAGCAGGGGCAGGGAGGGGGTCTTGTCCGCCACTCTCCTACCCACCAGCTCCACACATTCCAGCCTTGCCCAGGCCCTTCCCACCCACACCCACCCCCAGGCCTCCTAGGGGAAGGGGGTGCAAAGACTCTGAGCCAGGGGAGAGAGGGGCTGCCCCAGGGAGCTGGGCATAGGGCATGGGGGTCCCCTCTGCACTAGGACTTGATAAAATGACTGATGAGAGACGCTGGTGAGTGTGCTGCCTGCCCAGCCTGGTGCCAGCTCCAGCTCCACTTCCGTTCCTGCCTCCCCACCCTCTCCCCTGCAATCAGTGCGATGTGGACGTCACACTCTGACTTCTCCCCTGCCCTCCCCGCCTTCCTGTGCTGCTGCTATTGCTCTGTCTGGTGAGGTGGCTGAGTGCCCTGGCCCACCTCCCGAGCCTCAGCCTTCTCTGTTCTCTTCCCAGGCCTTGCAGGGGAAGGGGAGGCTGGGGGTTGGGATGTGAGGCCCTGCTCTGAGCACAGGTGGCAGTTCCGTAGAAAACCGCTGGTCCGGAGTCCCACCCAGGCTGGTGGGTGCCCCTAGCCTGGGGCGCTCTGACCCAGCGCAGTAACTGATTTGTTACAGCAGAAACTAAGGTAGTTGTACCACCAGTAACCAAACCCAAGCTATTGCCAGGCTTCTCAAGGGGCCACACTGGACAAGCCTGTCCAGCCCTGCCACTGGGAGTGGGTCAAAAGAGGGTTTGGCTGTCTTGTACCCCACCCAAACCCCCTGCTTCCTTGGCCTCTGCCTAGCCTTTTGCATCTCCTCCCCTCCGCCCCAAAAAGGATGGATGGGCCTGGGTGTCTGGGTTTGCATCCCACTGTAGCCTGAAGACTTGGACCAGCATCTGGTCTTTGGTCCAGGAGCCCTGCAGCTGGGCTGTTGAGGCATCAGGCAGTGAAAGTCCAGAGGCTTGGGTCATGGCCCCAAACACCTTCTCACGTGGTCCCTGGGGACAGGTAGAGAGGGCAGCCAGGGAGTCGGGGCAACAACTGCTGGCTCAGCTTCAACTCCCCAGCCTCTGTCTTCATCCCTTCCTTTCCCCTGACATGTCTCCAGTGGGCTGCCCTGAGTACTCCCCCTGGTGGGGGCTGCTGTGTGTGCCCTTGTTCTCCTGTGAGCAAAGGTCTTGGTTGGTCCAAGCTCTGGATGGGAGTGAGGGCCTGTGTGTAGCAGACACTGCTTCCTGCCTCTACTTTGGTGGCTGCTTTGGCTTTTTTTAATGTGGGTATTTATGAATAAGTGGCCTTGTGTCAGAAACAGTTACACACACGTGCACACTCAGCTCCCCATGGACACACTCTCCAATGGCCTTTCAGTGTGAGGAGGAAGCTAGTGTCCCTAGGTGGGAAGTCAGGAGGCAGGACAGGAGGGGAGAGTATAGAGGTCCTCTGAGGGGGTCTTGCAGGGTACTGAGGTGGCCAGCAGAAATCTGGATAGATTGTCCCTTGAGACCTTTAAATTCCTTCCTGGTCTTGGTGAGCCGGCAGGGGACTGTCTCTTAGTTCTTTTCATTTGTCTCTCCTCGGGGTGTGGGGGAGGAGAGCCTATTAGGTCTCCACCATCATGGCCTCCCAGAGGAAGGCGCCCAAGGCCCTGCCCCAGCCCAGTGCAGCAATGCCACCTCGCCAGCTCCATGCCTTTCTGCAGTTGCATCCACCCCCACCTGACGCCCTGGTTCTTGGGGGGAGCCAGGTTTGATGTTCCCAGTGTGGTGACAGTGAAAAGGGCAGAGAGAGACTGGAGCAGGACTGCCGTCCAGGGAACAATCGGCAGCGCTGGCGAGCTTGCCCCTCCCCCCCGCCCCGGTCACTGCTCCCTGCACCCCGAGGCCGGTTCTGGAACTGAACTGTCGTGCCAGCCCCCTGGGCCTGCACCGATACCTCATCTGCCCTTGCCCCGCCCACGCCCCCTCCCTGGCCCTCCAGCAGTGGGGCCTCTGACTCTAGTGCCGAATGACTATGTCCAGATTGGTGAAGATGGGTGTTGTTGCTGTTTTCGTTGTTGTTTGTGAACGCTGTGATGCTGTGTGCCCAGGAGGGCAGCCACTGCCCAGCCCTTCCTGGGCATCTCCCCTCTGCGAGCTGTCGGGACCACATTGGTCTTCCCACTGTGGGACCGCCTGCCCCCTCCCTCCCTCGCCCTTCCAGCCTGGGGGACGCACAGACACATCTTACCTCTCATGCGTGTTTTCCTTTTTGATGTTCAGAGTGGCTCACTGGCTGGGAGTCTTTACCTCGGGGAGGAGGGGAAAGACTGGTTCCTTGTGGGGGGGGACCAAAGAAGGGCAGGGAATGCCTGGAGAGGAGTTGGGGGTCATTGTACCCCTGCTTTCTCCAGGAGCAGCTGCTGCTTTCCCCATCCCAGGGTCCCACCCTCCACCCCTCAAAGAGGTGGCCCTTGTTTACAGTGAGGACTCGGTCACTGTGTCTCCGTTTCCAGAAATATAAACTGTAGCGACCCCAGGCTGTAGAGATTTTTATGTGTTTGGATACATCTGCTGCGTGGGGGGAAAAAAAAAAACAAAAACCCTAATTTTGTACATATTGTATTTTTACTATTGAACTGTATTCTAGTGGCTGTTCATGCTCCAAGACTTTAGGTGTTGAGACATGAATACTATCCATGTAATAAGCACTTGCCTGGAATAAAATATAAAACTGAAATAAACCTGCACTGAAACCTGAGCTGGAGCTGCCAGCCTGCAGCATCTGGGTCATTTTATTACCGAGGAAGGACAGGAGGCCTTTACGGAAAGGTTTCCTTCCCAGGAAGAGGGGGCAGGTCACCCTCCTCACCTGCTGTGTGGAGCCTGTCCTGCATTAACTGCCATGCTAATCAGTTTCAGAAAATGATTTGGGACCTTCCAGTTATGATCCCAATGAGCCCTGAAAAGTGTACTGGTTTTCCCGATATTTTTGCAACACTTTGCACTTCCCTCAAACCATTTTTACAAACATTTAATCTTAACAGCACCGTAACTGTACCAAGAACTAGCCCCATATGGGCAGATATGGGAACAGGTTCAAGGTGACTGACTGGTTAGGGTTACACAGCTGGCCTGGGACTTGCTGGAGCTGCAGTCAGAACCCAGTTCGGTGCATAGTTCTTCCCTGAGCATTTGCCACCTCTGTCGGGGCCTGTTGGAGGCGGGAACCCCGGAACTTAAAGTTCCAGTGGGAAGTAGAGAACTGCCTCAGGGTTGGCACAGGGGTGACAGGCGTCCTAAGCGGGCTGCATTCCTGTTAGTGCATGAAGCTGTCCTTTCAGAGGAAGGAACAGAGAAGAGCTGTGGACATCAGGATCAGACATACTCTCGGCCAGGCCTGGAAGACCCTGGTCCTCACAGTGGTATCTCCTCTCCTCCCAGTCCATGGAGCCCAGAGACCCGGCAAGCTGCCTCAGGAGAAAATGAGGTCAGGGCACGGCTCTCTGGGGCCAGCTATAGACCAGGCTGGGCAAGGCAGTCTCACCTTTGTAACTCCCTGACAGCACCTGCCTGACCCAGCCCCAGCTGGGGGAGTGGATCAGCTTCTCTCTTGGGGCGAGTGAGAGGGCTTTACCGTCGAGGAAGGGAGTGGTGGTCAGGAATGTCTGGGAGGCCCGTCTCGGGAGAGAGAAGGGTCAGCCTCAGGAAAGCTACACCCAGTACTCTTCCCATTCATTGTTCCACAACCTAGAGGCAGCCCTTTCACTTGTGAAATGCTGGCTCCCTCTGCTGGCAACTCTGGGAAGCGATGGGATCACTTCCACTGACCCACTAGCCCCGTTTTGTTGTTGCTGTTGGACTCGTGGTGACCCCACACTGACAAGAGTAGAACTGCCCCATAGGGTTTTCTTGCCTGTAATCTCGTGGTAGCTGATGGCCAAGTCTTTCTTCCACGAAGCTGCTGAGTTGGTTGGAAATATCAACCTTTTGGTTGGTAGTTGAGCATTTAACCATTGCATCACCAGAGTCCCTTCAGGTCCTCATTAGGGAAGGGCTACCATTTCCTGAGCTCCCCACTCATTGCCAGGCACTGTGCCCAACACTAGGAACACATGAAAAGTCTGCCTCTGACAGTGATGACCTACTACTAACATCTGTCAGTTTCGGGGTAAGCAGAAGCTCCCCTCTTTACACTCAAAGGATAGTTCCCCCAGCTCAGCTGGAACACGTAAGAGAGGGGTCTTTGGTTAGGGTAACAACAGCAAAAGCCTAAGTATGAATCAGGTTCTTCCATTTACCAGCTCCTGCTCTGTGAGAGAAGCCCTGGTGTGTAGTGGTTAAGGCTTTTGGCTGTTAACCAGATGAGTGGGTTGACCCCACGGATGGCCCCATGAAAGGAGGATGAGGCAGTCTGCCTCTGTAAAGACTTACAGCCTTGGCAACCCAATGGGGGGTCTCTATGACTTGAAATTGACTTGATGGCAGTGAGTGTGGTTTTGGGTTTGACTCTGTGGAAAGGTCCCGGGTGGCACAGATGGTTTTCTTCTACTGACCTAAAGGTTGGCAGTTCAAACCCAAACAGCAGTGTCACATTAGGAAGCCCTGGTGATCTGCTTCTGTGACCCCACGTACAACAAAACGCTGCCTGGTCTCACGCCATCCTCAAACTGTTGCTGTTTCAGCCCGTTCTCACAGCCACTGCGTCCAGCCACCTTGCTGAGGGTTTTCCTCTTTTTTGCCAACCCTCTAACTTGACCATGTGTAACATCCTTTCAGGACTGGTGCCGCTTCCATAAAGATAACGGCCAAGGGCGGGGGAAGCCATGAAAACCCTACCCCATAGGACTCGGAACAGACAAGGTCTGCGCACTAAGGTGGTGAGAGTTACCCAAGAAGGTAGTTCCAGTGCCCTTCCTGCCCACACTGGATCGCTCCCTCCCCTAGCAGACAGACCCTCACTTAGCTGTGGGATTCCCTCTGGTCTTGGAAGCCTGCAAGGGACAGTGCTCCGGGGGGGAGGAGGGAGAGGGCAGAAGCGTGTCAAGGGACCGACCACTCACTGGCTGGTTTATGCAGGCCCCCTGGAGGATTTCTTTAATTGCCCCAGGCCGTGAGTTCCCCCCCTGAGGGGCTTATAAAGTTGACGGTTCTTTGGCTCCAGAGCTCTTTGTCACCTGGTTTGTCTGGGCAGCTGTGGGCCAATAGTCCATGTTCTGTCCTCATAGCAGGGTCCAGCCTGCTAGGACCCCAAATGGGTCAGGCAGGTGACTGTGTCCCCTGAACTCCGAGAGTGAGTTAACCACAGGCTCCAATGTCCTGAATGCCAGTGTCCTCTAGCACCAGAGGCAACATGTTGGGCGATGAAGTCTTCTATCTGGAGCCTTAAGTGGAAGCATCGAGGGTGGGACCAAAGCCACTGGGGTGGGGGACAGGCAGAAGCAGTGAGGGTCTTCTATTGCAGTCGGGGGCTCTTTCCATGCCTTGGCCTAAGTCGCCACTCTGGCCTCAGCAGGGCCTCACCCCTTCTGACCCCAGTTCCCCCTCACCAGACACCGCAGCCTGAGGGAGACATCCCAAAGGTAGAGCTCAGTGGGGGGCAGCCAAGGGGCCAGAGCAGCACAGGGCTTTTCACTGTTCTCTGGAGGCCTATAGATTCCCAGTCAGCCCTCCAGCTCACTGCTAAAACCCAGTCAGGACAGGCAGCAGGCAGGCAGGCTACACTCTTGGCTTATCGAGAGGTTGGAGAGGCCATCAGTCAGCCTGAGGAAGGACTACGACTTGGGGGTCAGGTCTCCCAAGGGGGTATCATACCCCACACCCTCTAGTCCAAGGTACCTCTCCTGGCAACGTCAGTTCTCTTTCCCCCATCCGTGCCTTTTGGGGGCTGGCCCTCTCACTGTTGGACCACAGAGCTGACAGAATACCCCAGCACACAGTCACTCACTGTCTGGTGGAGCCCACCAGCAGCCCCCAGAGCCCCACGCTTTGCCAAATGCTGTGTTTATTGGTCTGGTACACTGATGAGTATAGTTTCTGAGCCAAAAACATACATACTCTGCTCCTCACAAAACCACTGAGTCACTAACGCAGGCACACGATGGCCACCTGTGCTTGGTGGAGGCCAAGGACTCATGGATGACAGGGATGGGCTGTGGGGCAGGCTGGCCCCCAAACAGGCCGTGCAGAGCCCAGGACAGGGTGCTGGGAAGGCTGTGCTGGATGCAAAAGGGCTGCTGGGCCCTTTTCCACATTTCTCAGATGTAGGCCATCTATCAGGCCTTAGTGACTACTGGGCAGGCCCCAGCCCCTGGCCCCACGGAAGGCCAAGCCTGCATGTGCTGGGGTGAAGGAAGGGGTGTGGAAGTAACAGAGCAAGCAGCATGCCTGAGCCTGTGGTCAGGGGCCAGGCCCCTCCTAGCACCCCAATGAGTAATGTTCCTCTAAAGGGGGTCCTGAAGGAGAAGGTCCCCAAGCCTCACAGAGATCTGAGAAGCAGCAGTCAGAGCCAGCCCTGCTTCTCACCAGGGACAAGCAGGAAAGACTCGGGCATCCCTGCCTCCCTCAGCCCAGGGACTCAGCAGACACCTGGATGGGGTGATGGGCTGTGCCAAAGCTCCGGGGCCTGTCCCTGAGAGGAGGCTACCAGGCTCGCTCCCCTAAAGAATCATGCTGCTCTCAAGAGCAGGTGCTCCCACCGCCTTCCAGAGTGGCCAGGTGGCAAAGTGTCATTACACACAGTTCTTCAGGAATGCATCTAATGCACAAAGCATGGGCAGACTGGCAAGAGACTGTACAGATACACGTAGGTGCACTGCATGGTGGCGGAGTGCGTGGGGTCACCTCAGGTGGCCAAAGGCAGTGGCAGTGCTGCTGAGGTGGGCTGCTCCCACCCAGGGCCCCAAGGCCTCCGAGGAAGTCTCCTGTGCCCAGGGAATGAACTGGCAGTCATCCCAGCTGCCCCAGCTGGGGCTGGTGTGCACCATGCTGGGCCTACACAAGAGATACAGCACAGAGCTCCCCAGCCCCTACACCCCCACTAGGTAGAGCCTGGGCAGCTACAGCCCGTGCTAACTCTGCAGGGCCCCAGATGACTTGAGAGAGGCAGTGGGGATGGTCCAGGCTGGGGCTGCAAGGCCATGGGGCTAGTCCCAGCTGTTGGAAGGGGCGCGCAGATGTCCCCCGAGGCAGCAGCTCCCTGAGGCCGAGCCCTCCCACTCCGGCCCTGATCCGAGAGCTGCCGGGCCCTTGACTTGCCCTGTAGGGCCAGCACTGCCCGGAGTCGGATCCCAGGCTCACAATCACTTTGTTAGGAACACAGGCAGGCAGGCAGGGTGAGGTGGGGTCTGGGCCTTCTGGGCCGCGACGCCCCTGCCGCTCTCCCTGCTGGGTTCCAAGGGCCCGGGTGCGGGCTCTGCGTGGCCGCTGTCTCCCAGCCCCAGCCCTCACTTGTTCTCTATGAGCATCTGCACCTTGTGCACGAGGTCGCGGGCAATCCGCAGGATCTCCTGGGCATCGTGCCGCTCAGCGCGTTCTGGGGTGAAAACAGGGGATTGTGGGGAGGCCTGGAGAGAGGACAGCAGGCTGACCACCCTGCTCTGTCCATCCCCACCTGCTGGGAGCCTGACATCCTGCTGATGGGGAAGGGATCCTAGATTCCTGGAGAAGCCCTCCAACCCTGCCCAGGCTAAGAACGGAGCCCCCACACCCTGCTAAAATCTAGCAGGGACCAGCTCATACCATTGAAGAACTTGATGATGTCGGTGAAGTCCATGTTGTTGTCACGGATGATCTCACGGTAGGCCTCCACCAAGGCCAGGGCGATGAACAGGACAAAGTGCTCCGACGAGATGCGTCGGGCAGCCCATATCACCTCCCACACAGCAAACACATCCTCATAGAGCAGCTCTGGGGATAGCAAGGGGCTGGGACTAAGGCTGAGCCTGGCTGGCCTGGCCACCCACGGTCCTCCCCACTTTACACACAGCCTAGTCCAAGAGTGGGGCTGCCCTAACCCAGCCCAAGACCTTGTCCCTATTTTGGTAATTTCTGCAGACCCCACACTGCACTTCACTTCAGCCAAGGCAATTCTTCTTGTCTGTGGTTTACACCTTGGTGCTTGGGTGCGATTCTGTTTGAAAGAGTTCAGAGAACCATTGCCCCGGTGCTTTGGAACCACCCAGGGAGCTTGTACAAACACTGACGCTCAGGTTAGTAAGTCCAGGGGCAGAGGCCAGGGCAAAGGTATTTTTTTAAAAAGCTCTCCAGATGATTCCAAAGTGTAGTTATAGTTGAGATCCACTGACTTTGAGGAAAAGTTTCCCACTGTCCCTGACCTTCATGATTCAACCCGCCTCTTACCTCTCTTAAAGTCCAGTAGGAACCAGCGGTAACAGAAGTAGAAGTGGGTATAGTCTCCATTCTGATGCATCAGTTCAAACAGCTCCGAGTCCAGGATCTTGTGTTGAGGAGAGAAGAAAGGGACAGGGACCAACTGGATGCTGGCTCTCCCCACAGTCCCTCAGCCACACGCCTGGGGAAGCTTCACGCCCCCAGACCTGGCTGGTGGCCTCTGCTGGCCTGGGCCTGACAGCCTGGCCCCCGCACTCTGCCCCACGGTGTCCTCCAGTGGGGCCATGCTCTGCTGTCCATTTCTCTGTACTCTTTTTGGCATTATGCCATTTTCTGGGTGTCTGATTTCATCATCACCTCCAACCCTCACCAGAACGTTCACAGCCAGGGGTGTTCACACATTCATGCTCCTCCATTTGTAACACTGAAAAAATGTGTGATCGTTGTTGAGACATTTGTTTGTTTATGTATTCATTTGGAGGGACTCTGTAGGCTCCGGAGTCCGGCTGGCTATAATCTTTACGGAAGCTGCTGACCAGGCCTGGATCTTCCATGGTGCCACTGAGTGGGTTTGAATGGGCAACCTTTGGGTTACTGACCAAGTAAAATGTGTGTGTTTTTAATAAAGTTAAATATACTTGGCCCAACAGCAGAAACACCTACATGCAGAACACCTACCCCAGGGCAATGCACCCACCTACTCGAGGAAGATGCACCCCTTGGATCAATCAGCCATGAGACACCAGAGGGGCAGCATTCACATGGAGGGCAAGCTGGACAGACAGGAGCGCACAGAGCAGAAGGGCACAGGGAGGGGGTGGGCACAGTCAGGGAGGGGAGGAGAGCTTGTTATGGTCGGGGATGGTAGTGGGGCCGTGAAATCAAATGTGCGTGAACTGTTGAATGTAAAACAAATTTGCCTTGTAAATTTGTACCCAAAGCATAATTAAAAATAAAAACTTAAATATATATGTAAAGGACATTTTTGTGGATAAAGGACAAGCCGTGATGCCAGCTTACATCCCTGTGGGGGCTGCAGACCTCACCTGGATGAGGGAGCGCATGTTGGCAAAGTGGGTGTCCATGGCGCCCCCATTGGGGAAGTTCTGGCTCATCCTCTTCATGAGGTGGCTGAAACAGCTGTAGGCCAGCTGATCTGAGGGCAGACGGGGGTAAGGCCAGCAGGGGACACCCCGCTGCTCAGGGCCAAGTCCTCACTGCACAGGGGTCCTGAGCCCAGAGGCCAGAGCTGGTTTGCGCGCCCACCGTCCCGACCCAGTCTTCTTTTCCCTTTGCAGCTTGTATCACTCCAACCCCAGCACCATTTTGGGCAACCCTGCTCTGGAAGCTGGGCAAGGGGTCACCATCCCTCACCATTGTCAAGGACGACCAGGAGAGGTGCCAAGAGGTCACACATGCCCTGCACATAGCCCACGTCCAGGTGCTCCCACACGTAGCTGAAATGCCAGGCAGAGTCACAGGGGTGGCCCCATCCTCCTCCCCCTCTGGGACCCCGGGAGGCTGACGGGCAGTCTAGAGAGGGCGCCTGGAGCAGCCTGCTGCCTGGAACCCAGCCTGTCCACAGCCCTGAAGCACCTCCTCAGGCCTCCACAGCGCGAGGACAACGGTGACCCACCCATGGCCCCTCTCCTCGAGGCACTCAGGGACTTGAGGAAGAGATACAATCAGGAGGCCACCCCAACCTGGTTTGCTGGGAGAGGGAAAGCCCTGGGGTGAGGGAAATCAGGTAGAGCTTCCTGAAGAAGGGTAGCCCAAGTGGAGACTATTGCAAACACTGGAGAGGGGTGGCTGTGGGGGTAATGTGCGGGATGCAGTGGTGCGGCCAGAGGGAGCCAAGGCCGATGCAGGCGTAGGTAGAGAATCTATCAGAGAGTGACTGGTGGCAGGGGTGTGGGGAGGCCCCCGCCCAGCCCTGCCCCACAATGGCACCTGCACATGATGTCTCTAAGTCGCTCCAGGTTGGGGGGCGTGAAGTACCAGTAGTTGCGGTCACATCTCTGCACATCCTTGTCTATGCGGTGCAGGTTTAAGGCCACGGTGTCTAGTAATTCTATCTGGAAGAGCAGAACACTCTCAGCTGTGGGACTGGTAGCCCTTCCACGGCTGGAGGCAGGGGGTGATAACCCAAATGAAGAAAAGCAGCCAAGGCAGGGAACCGAGAGACTCAGCGAGCAGGGTCCTCTGGGGCTGCTGAAGAGGGACTCGGCACCTGCCTCCAGGACGGTCAGCACGCCCCTACCTCCACCCCACAGCCCTTGTCCCGCCCCAAGCCTTGGGTTGCCAGGGAGGCCTTGGGGCCAGCTGAGAGCAGTGCCTGGGAACGTCCACATACAGTGTAGGCAGCAGCGCACACGGCCGCAAGCTCCTCCCCGGCCTCCAGTAGCTCGCTGGCCTGCGAGGCCTTCTCTTGGCTGGGATCCTGGGGCTCAGAGAAAGCATGGGCCGCAGGGGCTGGCCCGTCGGAGCCGTCTTCCCCACCACCACTGTCCTCCTCCTCAAAGCCCACACTCTGTCCTTCATCCATGCTTGACTGGATGCCGGAGGCCACGGAGTAGTTGCGAGAAGACGGCAGCCCTGAGTCTGGTGAGTCAAACTCCACTGACTGTTGCTGCTCCACCATGGTGGTACCCGCGGTCCCTTCTCCCAGCTCCTGCTCAGGCGTGGGCCCGGGATCTTCAGTGCCCTGGAGCCCTGGGGGCTCCAGATCATCCACGGAGATGAACACCTGATGGGGTGACAGATAGCGGGCCTCACATCTGCATTCCGGCACAGCCCTCCTGGGTCAGAACGGAGCCCTTGTTCTCTCCACACCCCATCCTCCCACACCACGGCCTCCTAGACTCTGCGCCTCCCCTGAGAGAACTCAGGCTCTGAGCAAACACGAAGACACTATTTCTGACCCCATCCAGCAACCCCCTCAGGCCTCTGCCTGGAACACGAGGACAATGACAAGGGGCTCCAAGACTCCCTGGAGCTGGTGTAGGCAGAAGAACTGGAGGCCTGGACACTTGCAGGATAGTTTGAGCTAAGTCTCATTCTACAAACACCGCAAGTCACGTGACTGCCCCAGCCTGGGAAAGCTTCCGTGTTGGTGTCTTGGTGTGGCTGCCGGGGCTCCTGGGAGGAGGGCTGGGTGGAGGGTTTAGAACAAGTTTTTTCCTTATGTGCAGCATTGCATGTTCAGCAGAACAGGGTGGAAAACATCTCTGGCAAGTACCTAATCATTTATACTCAGTTCAGACAAGCTGGAAAGAGGTAAGAAGTGAAAGGATAGCTTATTGATTGGAAATAGTCCACCATTAAGGACAAATCAAAGGGAACTAGGGACATGCACAGACTTTTTTTCCTTTCCTTCCTCTTTTTCTATTTGGGAAAAGGATGATGACAGAAGTTTCACTCTGGGCAGAAAGTGTGAAATGCTAGGTAGTAACAGGTAAAACCAGACTTCTCAGGCACTCGAGTCTGACTCAGAACACCAACAGCAAGGAAAGGTGCTGCTGTCCTTGATCTCAGCGGCTGGGGCGTTTGTGCATTTCAGTTTTCATTAAAACACAACGTCAGAGACAGAGAGAGAGGGTGATTACGAATAGGGGATCGATAAAAAGCACCTTGAAAACGTGACTGTATTTTAGCAGTTATATTTCTTTAAGTCTTGCTCCAGTTGGAGTTTTCTGATAATATTAGCAAGGATTTATTGAAGTAACAAGAAATTTCTTATCAGTGCTGGCTGAACCAAGCAGCCAGAGTTTGGAACTTGCTGTCTACCCAAAGGTGGGGATGATGCCAAAAGATCTACCCAGGGTCTGAACTGGCTTGCACAGCCAATTTTATAGGGAAGGAGAAAACATCGTGGGGGGTGGGGAGCTTGGCCAGCAGACACCAACGGGTCTTGGCCAAGTGCTCCCCTGCTCTCTGGTCAACAGCTTTGGGTGAGACTCTAGAATCAAAGGACATTAGCGTGCAAAGAGGAAACTGAAATAGAAAGCTCTAGTCCAGACATCTGTCTTGTAAACAGTGGATCTGAGACTAGGAAGGATCCTGTTCCTAGCCTTGAGGTCTCTCTATTGGGGGGAGGGCTTCCCTTAATTTCTACAAGTCCATTTTTCCCTGTTAGTTCACAGGAACAACCCAAACCTACAAACACAATGAACACGTAACAGCTGTGTAACATGCTCTCCTTCTCAAAGCATATCCACAGACAGTGCCTAAAGCAGTGGGGCGCATACCCTACACACTTCCTCATTTTTCAATGAAAGAAATGAGGCACAGACCCACTGAGTCCTGCTCCCAGGGCTCTGCTGCCTGTGAGCAGCAGAGGTGGGGTGAGTCTGCAGGACACCTGTGAGTCACGTGCTGTGCCCCCACCCCGTCTGGCTCCTCACATCATTGCTGATAGTGGAGTCTCGGTGGACGAGGCGCTGCACGTGGCTGTCGATGCTGCTGCCCGAGGAGAACTTGGTGAGCGTGACGGGGTGGGCCTCCCGCTCCCGCTGCCTCACCACCACCTCGCAGGCCTTCCATTCCGCCAGGACCCGCTGGTACCTGGCCGCCACCACTGCGTCCACCTGCACGCAGATCATATTGCGACCATGGGGGTGGGAGGCTGGGCAGTGGAGCCTAGAGCAGGCGGGGAGGGAGAACAGGGGGCCGCTCTGCTCACATCTGTCGCGCTTCCCTCCAGATGGGGAGGGCTTCTGATTCAGCCCTGATCGCCCACCCGCGTGGGAACCGGCTCCCCTACCTGCTCCATCTCCTTCTTGCTCATGCCAAATTTGTAATGGCCTAGCAGAAAGGGCCAGACACCCTTGCGGATTCCGTGCTCCACGCCTCCGTAGTAAACCTGCCGCAGCAGCTCCAGCTCCTTGTAGTTCTGAGGGAGCCAAGGAGCAAAGATTGTGCAGGCCCCAGACACACTGGCTGCTGGGTGAGCCCCAAGCTGTGGAGAGCTGGGACTGGGGAGGGTGGGTCAGTCCCTCTACCGAGACCCAGGCAAGTCCTGCTGTGTGGCCGCGTCTCCCAAGGCCCAGATTAGAGTGGGCCGAGGTCTCCGTCGACCCTCCTTCCCAAGAGCAGAAAATGGAGCCAGAACAACAGAGATTTGTCCCAGGTCGCTGAGCAGCACAGAGGAGAGTGGGCTCCAGGCCGTGCTTCCCCCACAGACCCAGCTCTCTGAGATCCCACCATGACCTCAGTCACCCCTGGCCGTCAGTCCTGGCCAGTCAGCTCCCCCCCTACCTTGTTCTACCCTGCACTCACCGCTGCCCACCCCGCCTTCGACCTGGCCCCCGGCCCCCGGCCCGACAGCCCCAGAATGTGCACCTTTTTGTCCTTCTGATACTTGCTCCACACGTCCTTGGTGAGGCCCCCGGAGGCCCCTGGGGGTCTGTCAGGGGGGATAATGTTGTGGTGCACCAGCGCTGACAGATGGGTCCGCACTGTGGATAGGTGGCGGCAGTATGCCAGCCCTGCAGCAGGGCACCGGCAGGCTGTGACCTTGGCGAACTTCCCTCGCCCGCCCCCTAGCCCCCCTCTGCCCCCTCAACCCGTACTCACAGCCGTAGAAGGCCCGGGATACAATCTGCCTCTTCATGCTTTCACACAGTAGCCTGAGGGGCAACCTGTGGAAACAACCTGGCTCACAGCAGGTAGGCATGGCCTATCAGGTGGGAGGACATCCCTGGCTTGGGGACGGGTAAGGGACTTAGGTTGGTATGGGAGGAGCTCTAGCCCAGGAGCATGTCAGAGGGTCCCCATCCCCACCCGCCACCCTAGACAAAGCCCACGTGACATGGGTGTTTGCGTACCGCTGACTTAGCGGAAAGCAGGTACCCTCCAGTTTCTCCTCACAGAGTTGGGCCAGGAACTCAGGAGTCCTGCCTCCCTGTTCTCCCACCCCGACCCTTGGGGTTCACAGGCACACGCTCAGACTCGGGGAACAGAAAGGTGGGGCAGGTACAGCTGCCGGAGAGCTCAGGAGCATCTTGGGAAGTGGTGTCCAGAGTGGCCAAGGTGCTGTGTGTTCCGGGTCCTCTCCACCTCACAAGCCTCTTTGACTGTAGCCCAGTGAGCTCCCCGCTCATCCACCCCTCACAGCCCTGAGGTCCAGGGGGTGTGGCAAGATACACCCACAGTGACAAGGCTCCAGAGAGGCAAGGAGGTCAGTGGATAGACACCGAGGAGCTAAGGAAAGTGCACGGCCCTGCATCTATCCAGAATCCGGGCCTCCTCCCACCCAGGTGACTCTGGACAACTAACTCCACTTTACTGAATCTTGGTTTCCTCAAGTGGAAATGGAGAAAACCAATTAAATATCATTAGGAGAACGGACAAAAAATGAATTAACAGGTAAAAGAGCACCCAGCAAAGCCATTAACACCATTCCCACACTGCTGCTAGCACGTGGCAGGCACCCAGGTGTCCACTGAGCATCCTCAGGAGTGCGGCCTGACAGCAGGACCTATGTCCACACCAGGAAGGGGTGCTCACCTGTACTGAGCACCTACTATGTGTCAGGTACAACTCTGGGCATTCACACAGGTCATCTCACATTTAGCTGTCACAGCACTTGAGGAAGCAAGTGATCTTATTAACCCCATTTTACAGACAAGCAAACTGGGGCTCCAAAATGCAGGCACCCAATAAGCAGCCAAAGTCACATGGATAGTGATTAGCAGAAGTGAAATTGGAAACTAGGTGTGTCCAACCCCAGAGGCTACCTTATCAGGCAAGTGACAGACCCTAAGGACAGACACACACACATGAACAGACATGCCAACTGGGAAGCTGGGGTCCTGGGCCCTGACTACTCACCGGTCAGGGACGCAGGTGCAATGGCTGGGGGTGGCATACGGGGAGCTGCTGGAGGAGCAGGAGAGGCAGGAGGAGCCCTGGCTGCACAGGGGTTCCAGATACCAGGCTGGCAGGCTGGGCCCGAAGCCCTGCATCTCAATCATGTCTCCAGCATCTGAGGGCAGGAAGGGGGTCAGGGTCAGAGCCTGACAGGCCTTTTCCCCCTAGCATCGTGCAGCATGCCCACCTCTGTGCCCAGAGCTGCAGCATGAAGTCAGCAGTGGTGGAAAACCACAGGGTGGTGCCTCCCTGGTCCAGAGCCCAGAGATGGAAACAGTAAGGAGAGAGTGCCTGCCACTTCCCAGCTTCACAGAGCCTGGAGAAGCTCGGCAGGTATCTTTCTGCTCAGGAGGAAACACTGACTGAGGAGGATGGCGATGCCGTTTGTCTACCTCTCTATTGGCAATGCAATAAACACTTGTTCTTCTAGAGCAAAGGGAGAGAAAGAGAAGAAACAACAAAAGCGTGAATACTAAAATGCTGCCAACTAGCTTGGCCTTCAAGGATTCAGTTGGGTCCTCTTTGGGAAACTCCAAGCTGAGCAGGAAGTTGCTGGGAACACTGCAACCTCTGTACCCGCCCGTACCAGGGAGGCTTCACCAGTTAAAGCCCCTGCGGGACCCCAGAGCCATCTGTCCTGGCCCAAGGGGTTCTAGATTTGGTGGCCAGAGGCTAAAGCGGAGTAGCACCCCCTGCCCAGCCAGGCCCCCTGCTGCCAGCCCATGTGGCCCCCCCCTGAGCTCCTCTCCATCCTTGCTCAGCCTAACTGCACTCAGCACGGAGGGCTCCCGGAAATGCACAGGTGAGCTGGAAGGACGGCCAAGTCCCCAGGGCTGCCAGGCCACTGAGGAAGGGGGTGGCTGTGCACATAGGCCAACCATCTGAGTGCCAGTCACGGAAGAATGTGCCCGCGTGCAGCCTCTGCAAAGACTACTCCTTGGACACGTCTATGTTCCCAGCAGGCAATGCCTTCACAGCCAGCCCAGCTGGTCTGAATCAGAACTCAAGACCCCGGGGAGCTTCAAGGGCCAGTGGGGCAGGGCACTGCTCACAGAGGCCTCTGGCAGATGAGTTACACAAGGATGACGCTGAGTGATGGCAGGAAGGGAAAGAACTGGGAGCTGACGCCAGGAGGAGGGGGGAGAGCGGAGGAGAGTAAAGAAGAACCAGGCAAGAGACATGGGTGGGGGCCGTCCTTCAGCAGGGGCTTTCTCTGCCCATCCACTGTGGACCTGGCTCGGCCAGTCCTGCCTGCTGGGAGTGTGGAGCAGACCCAGGCTGGGTTTGTGTGGAGCCGGACTCTGTGCCCTGCTGGGGAAAGCTGAGCTGAACCCCATTCAGTCCCTTCCAAGGCTGACCTGCCTTGGCCCCAGGACTAGTGGCTGAGAATTTTGGTAGCTGTCTGGCCCTTCAGCTCCATCAGGAGGCAAATTAAGGGAACACACTTAGTAAGGAGGGGCTGCGGCTCTGGAAGTGAGGGGTTGCAAGCCATGCCCGAGACTCTGGGAAAGAGAGAGGGAGGGAATGAGTGCAGACAGGATGGGCAGGAGCCCAGCTCATGCCCTACAGCAGGCAGGAGAGGCCAGTGGTGGGGAGGCCGGGGTGGGAGGATGCCCAGCCGGGCAGGCAGCAGGCAGCAGCCGGGCAGGCAGGGAAGGCGAACAGGGGTGGAGGGTGAAGGAAACAAGGTCACAGGGAAACAAGCTCGTGCCCAGAAAGCAGGGTCCGACCAAGGCAATGTCCTGGGGCAATGCTCTTCACCTTAATTCTCCAGGGAGGAGCTGAACGAGCCAGCATTGACACTGCGTCTCTGAATGAACCCAGTGCTAGCGCTTGGGGGTGACTGGGCGAGGGGCAGCAGGCTGGACTGGGGGGTCTGCTGGGTCAGACTCTGACTCTCTCCTCTGAGCAGGAGGAAAGTTTAAAACCAACAATCAGGGCAGTTGAATCCCACAGCCCCTAAGACTCCGAGTGAAAGGCATCTGACCTGGAGCAGAATTAGAGTGAACAGCATCTCTGCTCGGTGGGGGAGGCAGCAGGGGAGGGGGGAGGGGAGGAGGGGCCTGGACACCCGCCACCTGAGTCACATGCACAAGTCAAGCATGTTGCAGGCTGGAAAAGCAATGGCTAGCAGAACAGACTCCACAGTGTTGTCATTAAGGACTGGGGTGCAGTGGGGCCTTCCCTCCCATCTCCCAACCCACTTCTGATTCTGCTCTCATGTCTCCTCCCCTTTCCCAAGTATCGGGGGTCCAAGGCCTGCATACCGGGTTGGTCTGGCCCTTTGAGTTTCCCAAGAGGATGGACAGACAACCCCGAGGTCTCTTGGAGGCCTCAGCCCCAAGGCTGGTCAGGGATGGGTTTCCTATTGCCAAGCTTACCAAGGGCTCTACTGGAAACCCCAGCCCGACTCCCAGGATCCTGGGAGGCTCTCCATGGGGTGCGAAGGGTTTCCTTGGACCCCTCAGAGCTTAACATTCCCACATGGCTCAAAGTCACTTAACCTACAAATAACCAACAACCCTCAAGCCAAGGTTTGCAAGGGACCAGGTTGTAGGCCATTCTACCGGAAACAGACATGGGAAGTGGGACTTCCCCCTTTTCAATCTGGGCCTGGCCCATAGACTCCTCCTACTGGGAGGGATGGGAGGGAGGGAAGGCACATGGGGGTTTAGAGGGACAGCTGTAGGCTATGCCGAGGGTGTGCTTGTCCATTCAACTTCAACCGAGCTGGGTGCTCGGTGGTTGCCCAGGAAGGAGGCCGGGCTAAGGAATCGAGCTTCTTGGTAGAAGCATAAGGAACGTGTTACATATTTTTGGACGCTCTGCAGGCAAGGGGAAGAAGCAATTCATTCTGTGGCATGAGAATGTGTGGGAAGACAGAAGTGGACTCTAAACTAGGCAAGTCGCCCTAGACTACATGAGCGCTGATCTCAGCAGTCCCTTCTCAACCTCCTCTGGAGCTCCCCCGTCTGATCACTCTCCAAAACGGTGGGGCCCCTTATCCACCATCTGGCTCTGGGACACGGTCAAGGAACAGTGAGGGGACTGTGGGCGCTGTGCCATGCTGCTCACAACCCAGGGGGCTCTGCAGTCATGGACAGGGAACTCCTAGCCACCCACCCTATATCCCCAGGGCCTGCACTGCAGCACCGGGCACAGGCGAGGACACCGGGCTTTGGGGGCAGCAAAAAGTACTCAAAACCCCAGAGCTAATAAGGCCGAGGCATTTCTGGGGTAAGAACACGTGTTGCTATGCCCTGTGTCCCCTGCTAGAACGCTATAGATATTTCTAGATTTCATACTAAAGCACCAAGCATTGTTGCTGGGAAAACCAAGCCCTGGAGTCTCTCCATGGTGGCCCCTAGGCCCCCACCTGGCCCACGAAACTGTCCTCATGACCTGTCCAGCTCCTACCCCTGCCCAGGAAAGGCAATTCCTTTGTCCTGCTTCCGCTAATTTAGGAGTTTGGGGTACAGGATCAGGGGCTGGGCTTCCCAGTCAGCACGAAAGAACAGCAGGAACCACTGTACTGGGCTTGCTGCCGGCCTGATCCTCAGGCATGGAAATGGGGGCTCACAGAGCCCTGCAGAGCGACCAAAGGGCAGCAGACCTGTCTACCAGTGGATCCTCTTCCCTCCCGGGTGGGAAACCCTATCCTGACAGACTGGATTAGGTGCCCAGGGCCACCTGCTTTCGTACCATGCCCTCTTCTTGCCAGCACTCGTCTGGCCTCCTTCTGGCCCTTCCTGACCTGCCTCCAGACGGAAGGGAAGCAACTTGGGCCCGAGTCCCGTAATGCCAACACTGCTGTGTGAGCCCCTGCGGTGTGTGGCAGGTGGGCCCAGGGGAGAAGGTTGTGGGGATAAGGTGGGGCAGGGGAGGGTGAGGATAAAAACCTTTCATCGGATTGGGAGCTGTGAGGTTCCGCGAGCAGATCATTGAGAGCATCGCGTGTAGCTTATCCTCCTCTTCCTCATCATCGTCCACCGAGGCCGCGCGGCTGGCCGCTAGGTGGTGGTAGTTAATAGTGACTGCTCAAAGAGAATAGCGAGAGAGGCAGAGGCATGAGGACCCTCGGCCCTACGCAGAAGGGACTGGACTCTCCTCACGCTGAGTGGAACGGGGTGGGGGTCACCTGGAACCTCGAGATGTGGAAGGGGCACCTGAGAGCTCTTTTGATGGCTTCTTGGGGAGGTATGGGGAAAAGTGATAGAGGAAAAAAAGGCAGGCAGCCACAGAGCCCTAATCTTGAGGAGGCCCCTTGAGGAAGAAGAGAGAACTGAGCAGGGGAGCAAGGGCAGTGAAAGACAAGACCATCTGAGGAGGCCAGCAGCTCAGGACACACCAGCCCTGGTCAAGGCTGGACTCAAGTGCTGGCAGGCAATCCTGATCACTCTCTACCTCCTGTCATGTCAGGCTGGGCCGCATCTGAGGATTACCTCAAGTCCCTCTTTGAGACTAGAAGCTCAACCTTCTCCTCCAAGTGTTTTCCCAGAGCTGCTCATGAAAAACCTGAGTGGCTCATCTGGTTTCCTCTCTGGGCCCTGGATCACCCTCCAGGGAAGTGGTCCTCGAATAGTGACATGAACAGAACTGGGAAATGCCAAGGCTTGAAGAGGGGAAGGGGAGACTGAGAAGCAGCCCAAGATTAAATGCCAGCTTTGCAAACATTTTGGTAAAAGATGTGTCTTCTTGGCAGACACATCTGGGTGGCTGGGGGCTGGGGTGGCCCACATCTTGGGTCTTCCAAGCCCGTTGACACTGGTTGTGCTGTGACTATCTACAAGGCCCGGGCCACCTGTCACACAGTAATGACGACTCGTGGATTAGATTGAGTTTCCTCTGAGTTGGTACAAGGTAGGAAGCTTAGGGGGCAGGGCAGGCAGGTGGCTGGCAATAAATGCTCCGGGCTAGAAATTCCCTGACTTCATCTGCAATAAAAGCAAGTCTGGCTCAGAGACCCACGAGTAGCAGCAGCACTCTGGGCAGGAGGGAACTCTGGTGTTGGTTGATCCCTATAGATATACTTCCTGCGTGTGTATGTCTGGGATAGGGCAGGGGGAACTGAGCAGAGGCCTTAGGAACCTGGGATCCAGAGGGGTCAAGCAGACTCTGGGCCCCTCAGCTCCCTAAGTCCCCTGGGCTGTTAAGTCTCTGGTCTGCAGAAACAACTCCCTAGTGCAGCTCAAGTGCTTCTGGTCAGTAGGCAGTTTACGGAGGACTAACGCTCCTCTGGAGGTAGTGACCAATGCAAAAAACCAAACTCATTGCCATGGAGTTGGATCCAACTCATAGAGACCCTCCTTGAGTTTGCGAGGTGGCACTGCGGAAATAGATCACCCAATCTTCCTTCCGAGGAGTGGCTGGTGGGTTTGAACCACCAGCTTTCTGGTTAGCAGACAAGTGCCTTAGGTACTACACTATCAGAGACCCCTGACCAATGCAAAAAGAAGCACTAATCCCACATCCAGGCCACCTGTGGTGACCAGGCGGTAGGCCAGGAGGAATGGAGAAGTCTCTACCTTCTGCTTTTAGTCTCTCCCCATTTTTTTTTTTCTGAGGCAGGGCATGAAAGAGAGTACTGCACAGTGATGCTTGGGTCTGCTGAGCCAAGAGTCTTAGGGTGAAGAGATGTGGGGGAAGAGAGGCAATTTTTCAAAGGGATGACCTGTGGGTCCATTTCAGAAGCTAAGTGATGAACCTTTTGTCTTAACTTGGTCTGGCCCATGGTCCTGCAGTCACTGGACCTCTATTCCCAATTGTACTGCTTGCCGCCCCTCCTGGGGGCACTGCACTCCCCACCTTCCCCAGGCATCTTCCTCTCTTCCTCTGCTGGGTGGGGTTTGGGACACTCACTGTGTTCGTGCCTGTGGCCAGGATAAATGATCCGGAACACGCAGTCTGTGGCCCGCCCCATGCCCACGTCCTCCACGTCCACCGACCGCATGCTGCTGCGTTTCCGTAGCCTGGGGAACACCTTCCCCTGTGCAGGAAGGGATGGGGCAGGTGCTCAGCCAGTCCAAGGCAGAGTCTGATCCAGGGTTCCACCCACAGCTGCTCCTAAGAACCCCATGAGAGGAAAGGAGGAGGCGGGGCAGAAGACCCACCCCCACACACCCCTTTACCCCCATGGTACCTTCCCCTGCTGGGTCCAGAGTGGGGGCTCTAGCTGTCCGCGTGGCAGGAGCCCATTCTCCAGACAGGACAGAAAGGACAGGAGATGTCCCCCCTGGGGGAAGTGCAGTGGGGGCCTCTGGATGCCATCCTGGCTCACCAGCACAAGTGTGCCGCCATTCTCTGAGGGGTAAACGAGGGCTGTGAGGCTGGGCCACACGGCCAGGCTCCATGGCCTGGGTGTGAGGAGTCCTGGCAAGCTGGGGCACAGCCAGGAGCGTCACTCAGAGGGGACGGCAGGGACAGGTGAGAAGTCCGACAGGCCCCAGGCACAGGATGGTGCTGTGGAGGGAGAAAGGGCATCCCTCTTTTCTTGCCCTTCACACCCAGGATGGAGGAGGCTTACTTTGCTGGTGGCAGTGGATGCAGACGATCTGACTGAAGGGCACAACCAGGGCGTAGTCCCAGTAAACGCTGGAAAGGAACCAGATTTGTGTCACTGGGTCTCAAGACCTTCCACCCAGCCCTCCTCCTCTCCTCGCGCTACCAGCCCTTGAAACTACCCTGAGGATAGGAATGACCACAGCTGAGAAGTGACCCCAGCCAGCCACGTCCCTCTGGGCCAGTGCTCCCCTGGAACAGAGCCCGGCAGTCTTGGCTGTCTAGAGCTTGGCTCAGGCAAACCCCTTCATGCCCTGGCCTGGCTCAACCTTAGAGAGTTGGGAATCTCTCCAGGTGGCCTCTCCCTGCCAACCTTGGCATCTGGGTAGGAGTGAGTCCCACCACCTGGAATGGGCTAGGTCTTTCTGTGCCCTGCCTGGGGGGTAAGCCCCCACTCCCCTCCCTAGCTCCTGGGAGTCAATCTGAAAGCCCCACCTCTTTTCCAGCTCAGAGTCCCCCAGAGTCCCGTTCATGAGCTGGTTGGGGGTCCACTTCAGAGTGAGGTTTTCTGCCGACTGGTGTAGGGAGAGGTAGCCAGGGACAGCTTCCATGTCCTCCTTCTACGGGGAAAGACACACCGGAAGACAAGATCATGAGGACTGAGGGGCTTGTAGGGTTAAGAGCTCAGGTGGGAGAAGGGAAGGCCAGGATAGGTGCCCGGGGAGAACAAGGCCCTCATGGCAGATCTGGGTATCTCCCTCTCCTGGTTGGCCTGGTGCCTTTGGCTCTGTCCTGTCAGTATCCTGGATGCCAGGTGCAGCCTGGGCCAGCAACACTCAAGCCAGGTGTCCACCCTGCCTGCTGGCTGTCATTCTCACCCCTGGATGGCCTGTTCCTTGGTTAGCCAGAACAGATGCCATCTCCAGCTCCCACCTGCTCAAGGCTGGGCACGAATCTAATGAAACAGTGAGGTGGGGGTGGGAGCTGTTCTCCCCCTTTTCTCTGGCTCAAGCCCCTTAGGAAAGGAATGAAGATGGCTGGAGGGTCCTAGTTCTGGGACTTGGGAACTGGGCGATGAGAGAGAGGGTGGGGCGGTGGAGTATTAGGCTTTCCTACCGGCTGCACCAACACGTTGTTCTTGCCATAGAGCAGCCGTGTCCTTGAGTTCTGGTGCAGGGACTCCACATACTCACGGGCACAGGCAGCTAGCCTGTCCTCTGAGCCACTGCCACTGGAGTGCCGCTTCCGGATCTGCATGGAAAGGCAGACTCAGCCCCCAGCCTCAGGAAATCAGCCTCACGGGTTGAAAGCCCTCTGGTGCCCACACCAACCCTCTAGGGGATCCTTTGGGTCCTTCCTGCCCCAAGTTTTCTCTCAGCCATCCTCTGCTCTCCAGTCATGCATGGACCAGCCTTGTGCTCCCAGCATATGCCAATGTGGGGAGAAGGCCCTCCTGGGATGGCCATACTCTTGGAGCATCTCCAATACCCATCATTCTGTTCCCATGAGGAGCAGGGAGGCCAGGCTTTCCTCCCTGTAGACCCATGGACATGGCTTGAGGTGCATGCAGGGGGTGGGGAGAGGGAGAGGGACACCTACTCCGAGGGCTGGGCGCTTTGCAGGGGAATCCTGGCGACTGGGGGGCCCGCGGATCCGGTGCCTCTGGACCAGCTCATCAGCAGAAGGGTCAGTCCAGTAGTGATCGGCTGTCTTGAGCTTGGTGTACTCCAAGGCACAAGGTCCCACTGTAGAGACAGGGACAGCCAGCTCCCAACAGTTCTCTCTCTGTGCCTCCCCTCAGCCACAGTGGGCCCAGCCCAGGCCTCTGTGCTCTCAGGCTCACCTAGAAGAGAGGCCAGGATGGGGCCAAACACCGGGTCTGCCAGTAACGCCTCCTTCTCGTAGTACTTGCTGCCAGGAGAAGAGACAGTGTGACTGTCGGGGCTCCTAGAATCATCCCAGGGCAATCAAGCTCTTTGAGCAGGGATGTCCCCACTAAGACCAAATGCATGTCAGTCACCAAGAGAAACGAGTCCATAAGGACTGAGGTTTGTAGAAGGCCTAGAATGCCTACTTTCGGAGTGCTAAAAGGGAGGAAGGTACATGCCTACAGGCTAACATGCATGTCAGTCAAGCAGCTGAGGGTGGGGCTTCTGGAGAAGGGAGGAGGGGCTGCCTGGGGAGATGGACAGTCACCTGCAGTTCTCCACCAGGTACTGCACAACCCTGTCCAGCACTTTCTCGATGAGCGCTGTGCGTACCCATATGTGTTTCAAGGCCTGCGGGCTGAGGGCCGAGGCCTTCCCACTGGCAGAGCACTGTCTCCGCAAGGCCTCGTGGCTGCCCCCTGAGGGTTTCCTGCAAAGAGAGGGAAGGCTTCATGGAGAAGCCTAGGCCGAGGCTCCTGGGACTGGTGGCACTGGGAGAAGGGCCTGGTTCCACCAACTGGCAGCCCAGAGAACTGAGCATATGGGGGTCTTGGAGGCAGGGGACACATGGGCCAACCCCCACCCTCAGGCTGGTCGTTTACCTAAGAAGCCTTGTGAAAAACCGGCCTGGAAGCGAACCTTCAGATAGGTATCCCAGAAAGTAGCAAGTGCCAGGTGGAAACAGCAGAAGGGATGAGTGGGAGGGGCTGGCCAGGGCTCACCTGCCCTCTGCTTGCTGCTGTAGCTCCTGTACCTTGTGGCAAATCTCCCCAGCCACTGGGCATGTCTTTCCCACCTTGGTTAACAGGGCTGCCATCTTGTCACTACGCAGGAAGCCAGCGGCACGTCGCCTTAACTGATGCAAGAGACAAGCCTCTACCGCACCTGGGACAGAGAGGAAAACAGCACCTGAGCCTGGGCAAGAAGGGGGTGAGAGGGAGAGACACCCCCTCTACATTTGTGGAGAGGAAGAGGGGCAGGGGTAGGACCTGAACTGTTTGAGAGCTAGGGTGAGGGCTTCAGACTCAGGCAGGCCCAGCAGATATACTCTGGGGAAGCCTGACCTCCTTCCAAAGTTCCCCTCCCCGTGCCTCTGCTCCTGCCCAGGATGCCCTTTGTTAGGGGCTCTGACAAGTCCTGCCACCTCTCTTCCATGCCTGGTGTGTACACATCTCCCAATGCAGCATCAGCTCTGGGGCTGTGAGTATCAAAGCTGCCAGCTCCAGGTGGCGTAAGTGGCTCTGCCCAAACACATGAGCCAGCATGGACAGCACCAATAGGCTGAGGGCGGGAAGGAGCACACGGTCCAGCAACCCTCCTGGAGAGCATGGATGATGCAGTTGCTAAGGAACGGGATCTGGAGAAGGAGCTGAAATATTGATGAGGCCACTGCAGAAATCAGACCAGACGGCAGTCCCTGAATTATTGATGAGCCCAGCAGCTGAGAGTGAGAGGAGATTTCCATTTTCCATGCTGGGAGGGCTTCCCTTCATTCATTCATGTTTTTAGGGGCTAGGATTAAGCTCTCCCTCTGGATCCTGCTTACCACAGACAGACCCGGGAAGGAAGGAAGAGCTGAGTGTGGAAGGGCAAGGAGTTGCCCTGGGCATGTATAACCCACTGCCATCAAGCCGATTCTGACTCACAGCATACCTCCCCCACTGGGTTTCCGAGGGTGTAAATCATTAGGGAAGTAGATTGCCCCATCTTCCTCCTGCAGAGCAGCTGCTGGGTTTGAACTACCAACCTTCTGGTTAGCAGGCAAATGCCTTACCCATTATACCACCAGAGCTCCTTTGGGCATGTATAGACTCTAAAAACATTAGTGTGGATGTGCAGGGGGAGAACAGGCTTGGCTTTATTGAGGCTAAGCCGATTGTTTTACAAATGAGGAGGGAAAGGCCTAGGAAGGTGTACAGATGTGGTCAGAGTCACATAGTGGCAGAGCCAAGACCAGGACCCCAAATACTGATTAGAGCCACCTTTCATACCTCACATAGCCACTGTATGTTTCAGGGGACACATGTGGGAGGAGGTCCTCCCCTCACTTTGTAGGTGCTTTGTTCACACAGAGTACAAACAGTGCTGAGCTGCAGAGACCTGGCTCTGGAGGCAGACAGAACAGGATCTGAATCCTGTGGGCAACTCAGGGAAATGCCTTACTGCTCTGAGCCTAAGTTTTATCATCTGTGAAACAGGGATAGTATTTATAAAAATTACTGTGAAATGTTACGTGAGATGTAAGACACCTAGCACCAGGTCTGGCACACAGGCAGCACTTTTCCACTGGTCCCCAACTTCTTCCATGTGTTGTTTGGGTTCTATTCTACAGCCAACCTATAAGAGCTGGGTCTCTGTAAGGTCTCTCCCTGGCAGAGAGGGGAAGAAAGGCATTGGAAAGAGGATCACAGACAGCCCCAGAGGTGGGTGGAGAGGCCACTCTCTTAAGAACATGGGAACTGAGGTGTCGTCAAGTTTACTTTTTTCTTAGCTTGTTAGAATATGAAACCTGGCCTTAGGAAATGTGGTAGTTCAGGTTGTTGTCAACTTGGCTGGGCCTGGTTGAGAGGCTAAGCGGCTGGATGTAGTTATTCCCCATGGTGAGAGTGGCAATCAATTCCATGATGGAATCTAACGGAGCAGCTACTTTAGATGTGTGGTCCGCTTCCAGTATATAAGAAGCAGTTTTGAGGACGGTCTCTAGCTTTTTGGCACACTTGAACCCTGCATGTAGCCAACTCGTTGTTCAATAGCCTGTCATGCCCTGCCAATCTTGGGACTTCTTCTGGACTTGAATTAGTGGCCTGCCGTGTTGTCTGGTAACATTGGGACTGTGCCTTTTTACTTGTCGACCTTGGGTTTGTCAGCCTCAGCAGCTGCCTGAGTGAAGAAAAGCCTCCAGCTTCAGTGGGCTGGGAGCAGGAGGCAGAGCTGAAGCCCAAGGTTGAGGGGCTTTCACCTAGCTCCTAGAGCCTGGCACTTTGAACCAAGACTTAAAGCCTCCAAACTATAAGAGAATAAACTCCTGTTTGTTCAAGCCGTTCCACTTGTGGTATTTTCGGTTAGAACAGCACAGAGGTAACCAAAACAGGAAATAATCACTGAAAGCAGAATTTCTCACCTCATTTTTTTGTCCTCATTTTTAGTAAGTGACAGGCAGCTACAGCTGGGCTCTAAAGTTTTGTATGGTCAAGAAGTTGGCGAGTCCCTGGGGCCCCATGTGGAGGACAACCAGCTCAGTGAGAATATCCCAAGGGAAGGGGACACTAGCTGGGTCCTCCCTCCCCAACAGGCTCCTGCTGGAGGGTCCCCTACTTGAGCCTTGGAGGATCTGACTTCACAAGGTGCAGCCCTCCCATCAGGGTGTGCTCATCCCTCTGTGTTTATGTGTATGCAGACACATGCCTCAACATGTATGTCATGTATATATGGGGCATGGGGGAATCTGTGGTTTAAATGTCACACAACCCTTGCCATAGTCAGTCCCCTGGATCCCTGGAGGTCTGTGTGACTCAGGAAAACAGGCAAACCTTTGGCCCCGATCCTCTCCTCTTGGTGCTAGTGCTGCAGCAGCTCCAGGTCCACATCTGTGGAAGGGAGGTGACCATTTCCGGGGGCCGCACTTCCAATCCAGAGCAGGGAGAGCAGCAGCACCGAGCAGGGCCAGAGTGGCAGCAGGTGGTACCAGTGCTGCAGGGAATCATGTGCCTTGGCGATGTGACTAATTGCCAGGGTAATGAGTCATTAGCCTTCCCACCTTCCCCAGGTGGCTGGGAGGTGGGGATGGCAGGCACTGGCATACCCATCCCGATGGCCTGAGTGCAGGCACCAACGCTGTCTGGGGTGAAAAGAGGCATCCCTCAGAAATTACTGCAACTAGGGAATAAAGCAAGAAGCCAAAATATCATGCCCAATGCCCCTAGCTCACCCATAGCACCTAAGTTCCTTCTGTGAAAATCCAGGCAAGGTGCCAGGCAGTGTCTGCATGAGGAGAGAGCACTGTCACCTCTCTACTTTCCAAGTAAAGTAAATAATCCTTTATGCCAGGTATTCTTAGCCTAGGTCTATGGGCTCCTGGGCCAGTGACTGTTCAAATTACACCATGCTTCCCCATTCCCACAGGGGTGCCCTCAACTAAGCCTCACAGCATGCAATGAAAACTATTACTATATGCTGTGTGGGAACCATGTATTCAAACCAAACTCATTGCCATCAAGTCAATTCAACTCATAGCGACCCTCCTTGGGTTTTCGAGGCAGTATCTCTACAGAAGTAGATTGCCCAACCTTCCTTCAGAGGATTGGCTGGTGGGTTTGAACCGCCAGCCTTCTAGTTAGTAGTCAGATGCCTCAGGTACTACACCACCAGAGCTCCCTGGAAACTCTGCATAGGAAAAAAAAAAGTAACTGAGAATCTCTATTCTAAGCAGGTTTGTAGGTGTGCTTCTGGAGATTCAAGGACCCCAAAAAATTGTGTGCAAAACTGTTGCATGCTCCAGCATACTTAGATGAGTGCTTTTTTTTCTAGATACGAGGATCCATGACTTTCAACTTCTGAAGGGGGTACCTGTGGTGGTTAAGTTTGTGTGTCAACTTGGCTGAGCAGCTGAATGAAGTTATTCCCCATGGTGTGATTGGTCATCAGCTCCATGGTGGAATCTATTGGAGCAGCTGAGTAGCCGCTTTGGGTATGGGGTCTGCTTCCTGTATATAACAAACAGCTTTGGGAACGGTCTCCATCTTATGGCATGATTGAACCCTGCACGTAGCCAAGTCATTGTTCACCTGCCTACCATGCTCTGCCGATCCTGGGACTTTCAGTGGACTTGAATTAATGGCCTGCCGTGTTGTCTGGCAACATTGGGACTATGTCATTTTATTTGTCGACCTTGGGCTTGTTAGCCTCAGCAGCCAGTAGCTGCCTGAGTGAAAAGATGCCTCTAGCTTCAGTGGGCCGGAGCAAGAGACAGAGCTGGAGCCCAAGGTCGAGGGGCTTTCACACAACCCCTAGAGCCTGGCACTTTGAACTCGGACTTAAGGCCTCCAAACTATAAGAGAATAAACTCCTGTTTAAGGCCATCCCATTTGTGGTATATTCCTGTCAGAGTGGCACCAGGTAACCAGAACAGAATTTGGTACTGAGAGGGTAGGGTGCTGCTCTGACAGATACCTAAGATGTGGAAACAGGAGTGGAGTGTGTCCTTGACCCAAGTCCCTGGCAGAGAGACCCTGGTATACGGCATGACAGATGGCAGGACAGACGGCAAGAGACTGGCATGAGAGACGGCAGGAGTAGAGCCCAGAGACCGGCTTGAGAGACGGCAGGAGCAGAGCCGAGAGAACCGGCATGAGACAGCGACAGCCTTACCAGCCCACGGAGGAGAAAGCTTGATGCCTTTGGTTGGGCGGCTTTCTGGCAGAGTGGGTTTGCTTCAGGCATTAATTGGTAGAAAATATCGGCATGAAACGGAATAGCAGGTTGGTCGGCTCATGGAGCAAAAAAACCGAGTGCTTTTTGGGCATGGTTTTTCAGCAGAGTGGGTTGCCCTCAGGCATTAATCGGCAGAAGTGGAGACCAAGGAAAGAGAAGCAGAGCTGCCTCAGCCTTAAGGGTAGGACCATGGCCTTTGAGGGTGGAACGACCCAAGCCCCCTAGGTTTCAAAGAGCCAGGCCTTCACCAACTTTGTTCCGGAGTGTGGGGCTGCTCGTTCAAGTGAGCCAGTGGGATGGAGCCATAGCAGCTGCCCAAGAGTGAGGGGGCGGGGCTGCCGTGCCCACAAGGGAGAGGAATGGGGCCAGGCTGTTTCTAGGCCAAGGGGGTGAGGTCACTATTCAGGAACTAGGGGACTGGAGCCACCCAGTGGAGGAGACCTGTACAGGTGCCA